AGTTTTTAATCGAAACAAAAATTATTTATTGAGAAATGAGCTTTGTAAAATTTTTAAATCTTCCATAACTTGAGTACTAATCTCTAATTATTTCGGAATGTTGTCGCCCCTGACACTCGGTAGGCTTCTCTGGTTAACTCCACTATAACACAATTGACCTTAATGTGTTGATCAGATATTAGACATAGCTTTTCCTTCCATTTCCTCTGAGGAGCAGATCATGCACCGCCTCGCGTAACTTACCAAATCTTGAATTTTCTTGTGTGGAAAAGAACAAGTCTCCTGAAGTATTCATTATGAAATTGTAGACAAACTAATACATATGAGGGGTTATAAAAGATCTTGTGAGTACTCTTCAGAAGAGAGAATTTCTGCTTTTGTTTGAATGCATAATTATCAGTGCACATCGGATAGTTGATATGAACATAACGCATATATTCGCATTGTAAAGTAACTAAACCCAAAAAGTTACATATGTATTTATTGTGATTTTTTTCGCTCATCTCGTCCGAAGGACCGGTGAGCTAATGCCATATAGTAGCACCCATCCGTCAACGTTTTCTGCAAAACGCTACAAGCCATGAAAGAGGGGATTTTGAAATCAAATCTGGTCGGAAGTATCCTTTTTGGAAGTGGAACATAGTTTGTAAAATAGGTGTGTCCATGCCCTAAAGGAGAAATTTTGCAAGTTCTTTAAAATCCTACTCCTTCTGTAGGAATAATTGGATTTCGCCTAAATTTGATCTCAAGCATCTTTGGGTAGAGGAAATAAATTTTGCATAAAAAGTGATTCTTCACTCTCTGAGGAAGGAGGGATGGGGCCCAATAGGAAAAATAGAGCAGATTTTTTAAATTCCTACTCCTCCTGTAGAAATAGTTGGATTTTGCCCGAAGTGGGCATTATGGGTTTTGAGAAGGGAAATCAATTTTGTATAAATGGTGGGCCTTGACCCCGTAGGGTAAGAGGAGAGAGGCTCGATACAGGAAATGGGTTATGTCTTTGAAAATGTTGAGAACTCCACCCCATAACCATATATAGCATTGATGGGCATAAAGAGATTAACACAATCGTGATGTAAGAATTGCCCCAGGATCTGGTTCAACCCCAGGGACTTAGTTTCCTTGTTATATTGGATCGAGAGATATACACAATCATGATTTGAGAATTGGCCCTTCCACTCTGGACTTAATTTCATGATTATATTTTTGAAACAGTTGAAATCCCTATCCCTTAACCAGGTATAGAATTGCTTGGCATCAAGAGATAAGCGTATTGAAGACGTAAGAATTGGCCCTTGGGTGTGGCACACCTCTAGGGACCTAATTTCTGGGCCATGTTTTTGACTCAGTTGAGATCGCAACCTTATAGCTATATAAACTGTTACTGGCCACCAAGAGAGAAAGACAGTCATTCTGAAAAAAATACCATTTGATCTTGCTTTACAAAACAGGTCATGTGACTGAGATGTAATTTGGAAATCGAAATTCCCACCCTAAAGGCATGTAAACGATTACTGGGTTTTAATATTCAGGCCTTCGACAGAGTAAGACATTCAGGACTTATCTATAGATTGAAGCAACTTGGTATTGGGGGCAGTTTACTGTCATGGTTCGAAAGTTATTTGAATAATAGATTACAAAGAGTGGTTATAAATTCTACAACATCCGAGTGGAAGGTTGTAAAAGCTGGTGTTTCCCAAGGGTCAATTTTAGGACCACTGCTCTTTCTGATTTTTATTAATGATATTGTAGATGATATCAGTGTGCAAACATTTTAAATGAAAATCTAAGGAAAATTTATGCATGGTCAGAGCAATGGTTGGTAAAATGTAATCCCGATGAAACTGCATCACTTGTTATTAGTAAGAAAGTTAATAAACCCAACCATCACCTTTAATATATGAATGCTATTCCTGTTAATGAGGTTCAACATCACAACCACATCGGTATTGTCCTTTCTCATGATGGCACTTGGAAGAACATATCAGTTATATTATAAAGAAAGCGTCTAGTAAACTAGCCAACCTTAGGAAAGTTAAATTCAAAGTTGACAGAAGTTCCCTCCAAACCTTATATTTTCTTTCGTCAGACCCATTCTTGAATATGGTGATATTGTTTGGGATAATCTTACAGTCTCAGTCACTGGAGAATATTCAGCTCGAAGCAGCTAGGATCGTAACAGGGGGAACCAAATTAACTAGTCATGTCAAACTTTATGAGGAGACTGGCTGGGTCACTTTACAATTCCGTCGTAACGTAAAGAAAATTGTACAGATACTTCAAAAATGATTTTTGGCCTCACTCCTCCATACCTCTCTAATCTACTCCCACATCGCGGGCACGATACTCACCAATACCATACGCGTGATGCTGATAAATTAAGCGGCTAACTTCTACAAACGATCCTTTCTTCCTTCTTCTATTGACCTCTGGAACTCGTTACCCCGCGAAATTAAAAATAACCTAAAACGCTACCTGTACTGACACTCCCCTACAGTCCCTCCTTATTATAGTTACGGAAAACCGATCAGGTTCGTCACGACAGACTACGAATGAACTGTAGTTCCTTAAACGCTCATCCATTTCGACGTAATCTGGTTGAAGATCCCTATTGTTTGTGTAGACAAGGATACGAAACAACCGAGCACTTTCTTATGCTCTGTCCTACCTATACCGATGTAAGGAATGAATGCTTTGCAAATCTTCCTGTAAATTATACTCTTGACTAACTACTACACGGAGATCATAACTTAACTATTGAAGAGAACCAAAGAATTTGTAGCATTGTGCAGCAATACATTAAAAAACTAAACGCTTTGGAAATTAACGATACTACCATTCAGACTCAGACGGCTGCAGAATGAATTACTTATTACTCATTGTCCTCGTCTGTAATTTGATTGCTTCACACATATATACATGTAACTGTATTTCGGTTGGGTACATGTAATTATAAAGTCTGAACACTCCCCTCCCCCACCCTCTCTCTCTCTCCCTCTCCGTCTCTCTCTCTCCATTAATTATGCTATCAACGCTTAGCTTCAAGTATTGTGTTGTCACCTGCTTGTCACTCTATATCAGGAGACAGATTTACATAAGTATTGTTATACTTTTTTCTGAATCCTATTTATGTTTGTAATAATGATGTACAATTATGACACGTATGAAAATAAATAAAATATATTTTAAAAATATGTTTTAAACTAATATTCAGGTGAGCAATACAGACCCTATGGGTCTTTTGTTTTATTTGATAGGTGTTGTAAATTATTAAGATGAACAGTAGTTATCAAAACACTGTACACTGAGTGTTTAACGGCCAGTGGCAGTCAGGGTCACTGCGAGTCAAACTAATTGAGCCTAGGCTGTAGGAAGAAATGGTCGAATAAAGCACATGGTACGGTAAATAACAGTAGGTTAAAACATTAGCCTACTTTGTTAGATAAAACAAGAAACGGAAAATGAACACGTCTAGTTATAACAGGAATTATTCATATCGTGTTAAAAAAGACCAGTCGCACTAACGCCATTCAATATTTAGCCAGGTCCACGAAGAGGAAATGCATTGTCCGATGATCGACCTAGAAATACGCATAGTCAATCAAAACATGTTTCGCTGTGAACATGGATTCATGTGCATTATCAACAAGTGGATCTCCCCCGCCCCACCCCCATTCATAAATGAATGGATAAAGATATGTAGTTCCTGTTCGGAGTCGAGAAAAGGACAACTTCCTCTATGCGGCTCCCCGTTTAAGGAGTACTGTTCCTACATTTTACTGAAATTTGATTAGTCTGTAATGCCCTTGGTTTTACGTTTGTATATGGCAGAGTAGTTTCTATCTGGTTTACAGCGTTTTAGCTGTACTATCCGTGTTCTAGTAATTCACGCAGATTCCAACTTGTCCTAGAATCCAGAAGAATGTTCACAGATTCTGCTTTCAAATTCCTTATTCTCAGAACGAATTTTCGGCATTTTAAATTCACGTGATTTAAAATTTTGTAAGACAGAATGCGAGTACGATTACATTAAATATGTTTTGGTGCAATTATCTACCATGCAACTCGTTTATTTGTGAACCGTGTTCTATGCCCGTGCTGTTTTATTGGTATGTGTTAACCGAAATACAAACTGCCAAGATCTTACGTTCATGTAAAATACACAAGTCACTAAAGACAGTTTCTTGAATCTTGTATCTTGGTACCAACGATCGCCAAATCAATGACACAAAACATGTCATAATTCGGTAAACGTTTCCATTTGATCTTTGACATTTTGAAAATTTTTCATCCTGGTTTCCCTCTCCCATAAAGACCAATCAGGCTTGAGCATGGTCCAATGACAAAGCTGTTTGGAGATCCATTGTTTCTTAAAATGAAAACATGGGGACATGGTCACTCATACAAATATTGTTGCTTATATTCCAGTGATAGCAGTGATATTAAAGATAGGTAAAGATAAGTGGGGTACTTGTTAAACAAAAACAAATTATGGTTGGTAATGCATTCCTCAATGGGCCTGAAATGACAGCAAGTCCCTACTGAAATTCCTGAATGGACTGAAATGACAGTAAGGCCCCACTGAAATTCCTCAATGGGCCTGAAATGATGGTCGGTAGCCCACTGAAACTATTAAAAATAATGTACATGTACAACAGAATTTTAATTCATAAGTAACAGAGGTCATTATTTATTTCAATGCCTCTGATAGGATTTGAACACGGACCCCTTGCTAACTCAGCCAATCTAGCTAAACAGAAGTTTTCTCCAGTCTAGCGGTATGCTGCGGCCAGTATTTCCAAGGTTACACATGTTATGCAGTAAAAACAAAACAAGCCCAATAAAACAAAAACAGAAATATTTTGCCACAGATTGTCCGTAAATGAATTTTCACTCTCCAGAGGATGTTATTTTGAGGTTGAAGAAGATCAATACATTCACTAGACTAATGACTTGTTTTATGATACTAATGTTATTCAACAACTCAACAATGCAAAAAGGATTTTTTAAAAACAAATTTATTTGTAAAACAAAGAATTATAATACAACATTTTCATTTCTTTTTCTTCTTTTTCCCTCTCAGTCCAGCAAAGGCAAAGCTTTTCAGTGGATCTTCTTGCTTTCTCTGCAGAAAAACATAATATCATTATTATTATCATTATTATAATTACAATCTTTATGGCCCATATACACATAAAAAGGTAATTAGAGTCATCAGGTGGTGAAAGACACAGCGATACAAAAAGGAAATAATATCAAATAAAGTAAAAGATAAAAGACAAATTCTAAAAACCTTACATGGTTATATCATCACAAAAATTTAAAACGGTAAGTCATAGTCTATAATACAGGCCAACATCAGATAACCTAGAATATTATATATCTCAACAGTTTCAAAAAGGTTCTTAGGACTTGAAACAATTCTCGAGTAGACAGAAGGTCAATGCAGTCCAATCAAAAATGTTTAACAGTGAATGGCTCATCACATCCTATGCACCGAGGATTTTCTTCACCTTTCAACTTATCTGAATGCGTAAGGTAAAACATAATATGGCATTATTGTCTATTAATTGGTGTAAAGCTATTTTAGACTTAAATTTTTCTTCAATTAAATTTTCTCAAGCATAGAAAGAAAACTATGATTTTTTTTGAAATATTTGTTTCAAAAATATTTCTGGTTTAAAACAGGTATCACAGTTTTTTTTTAAACACATCCACTGCCAAAAACTGAGACTTTGTTTGCGCTGTGATATTTTTGCGAAAATCCTTCAATTGTACCTTTAGCAATTTTGTGTAGTTCATTTTCCAGTAGAAAATTCATCACTCAGAAATTTCAAAGACCTCTTTTTAAGACTTTGAAGACTTCAAAATAGACATCATGTATATATATATATGAGATAAGAGACTAACATACTGATTAGTATTTATTTATTACAGAAGTATTAATGACTAAAAAGTGTTCAAGTGTATGTAGGTACATCAACTCTGTAGATTTATGTCATGTGTTCTCAATAAAAAGATGAAAACATGCAAATTTTCTTTTATTTATCCATATACATACATGTTTTTACAAAATAACAGCTTTAACAATTTCATGAACTAATTTTAAAAAAACATTTTATATCCTTTATGTACATTATTGGGTCTTTTAGCAGTGTAAATTTGGTCCAGGATACAAATAGCCTAGCTAGCTCGCAGCTTATTCAGGTGATGGCTACAGATGCCAAGAAACCCACTTACAAACACACAGCCTCAAAAACCATGCTGAAGGACTGTGATATCATGGATCACAAATAAAGCATCCATCCATTATAACTAACAGACTTCTAAAGAAAATCAGACCATGTGTTGTAAACAGTAAGACAAAAAACCACCCTCAGTCCTGCCCGAATGACCACAAACATCTCCCACAAATCTGAGAACAAACATCTGAAGCAGCTAAACAATAGGTCTACTATTGAGCAACAAATTTCCAAGATCAATTTTAAACAAATTTCTAAACAAATTTACTGTTAACAAACATTGACTAACGAGGTAGTGATAATGAAAATTTGCTATGTTAATAGTTGGAGAAAGACTCACCTTATACTTGATCTGTCCACGAGAGGGTCCAGAGTAATCTGACGTCCTAGACCTTTTTCTGCCCTCCTGTCCACCATGATGACCTATTTTTTTCAGTGTTGGAGGGACTGAAATGCAGCAATAAATGCACATTATTCTACTTTCTGAGCTAAAAATTTAAAACTCCCGCCTCAAATGTCTGGTTGGACATCAGCAATTGAGTACTGTGACCTACTGAAGCTTAAGATGCAACACATTCACATGACCAATCATCTTATACTAAATATATATTAAGTAGCTTCATTACAATGTCACAATGTCTGTTATCAGTACTATAAGGCAGGAAATATTCACAAGGATTTCAGATTAATGTATCTGTCATAAAAACAAAATCAAATTCCAACAAATATTTAAGAAAGAATAAGAATCTGAGAAAATGTATGTTATATTCCTGTTTACATCAAAACCAAGGTTTTGGTGTGCTCAGATAAGATAAGGCTATAAATATAGGGTAGCCACTTACTCGCTTAAGTTTTCATTCATCAGATATGCTTATCGATGGAATGTGCATTTACATGTAATATACAAAGTATTCTTAAAGAATAACAATACACATTTGTTAAAATTTTCATACCAGGTAATGTACTTTAAAATGTCCTTCACAAGTCTATAATTATGACGCATTTAGAACTGCCTAGGATATAAAATTCATATTTTCGAATAGTGCTCTTTTGTTCTTTGTTTTTGTTTTTTCTTTCTTTGAGATTCAGGTCTACATTTGTTATCATGCAGTACCTCTGTCATAGATAATGTACTTGGGATGTCAACAATAAATTAAGAACAGCCTTACTTAAGAAACAAAACTAACTGAAGTGTACCAACTTATCTTTCAATAGGAGTGACATGTTTTCAGGACTTAACCTATTCTAAACACATCACAATTGTACTATTCAAATAATTCCTTGGGGCATCCCTTTTACATCTTGAAAAATTTGATATATTGATTTATCATTAATGTGAAAGCTTCTGTTCTGCTGAGGAGATGCTATCTGATCTATTCAAAAGTTATAGATATTTTCTAAAAAGTTCATTTTATACGGAATCTAATTTGTTTCGCAATAAAAGTATCATTCACATCATATTTCATTCTAAAAATCTTTCTTTCCAAAAAATTTTATGTATATATTTTATATCATTTCAAATCATTTGAACTTCTTATAATTTCCTTGCATTTTTTCTTTAAAAAAATTGATGTTAAAAAGAATACATTACTTTTTTAAACCTGAATCCAATGAAAATTGGAAATATGTTTCAAGAAGACAGATGACAAGGTAGTCATTTCCCAATGCAATGCTAATAATGAAGTTGAATATTGAAACTTAATAATTAACACAAAACATTTCAGAATTCTGTAGAATATATCAATTCTAGAAATTATTTTTATGATTACTGTTATCAACTTTTCTTTCATTCTGATATCATAGCAAGTTTGAATTTCACTAATCTTACCAAGATAATCTGGAACATTCTTCATGTGAACTTTATTTTTCACAGTGTGTAAGAATTTGTCATGTCGCAGTATTTGAAGATCCCTTGGATTATCTTGGAAATGGGACTGAAAAAATACAGAAATTCCAAGCTTCTTGTATAGTTTTCTTTTAAAGCAAACAAATTAGCATAATGATCATCAAACTCTATAAAGAACTGCCTACAACACATTGATTTCATAATATCTAGTCTGTAACAGTGGTACTGAAAATGTAAGTAAACAAATACAAAAGAAGGGAAGCAACTCCTGATGCCAGGTGTCCAAAGAGTACATCAGACTTTCTTTTACAGCTGATGGCAAGATGTAGGATGTCAGTAAATCTCTCCAACTGGAGATGTTTCCCATCTTGTTTCATAATTATATAGTTAACTCGGTTGAAGTACTTGAACTTACAACTAAACAGTTACAGTAATCTAGAATACTTTGAGTTCATTTCTCCACTGATGACAATATCCCTGGTACTCAAGTAAGCATTCAGGGATTATTTCTGTTTGTGGAAAACTAAAACTATTACAATACTCAAAATTAAAACTTGAATATTTAAGACTAGAATCACACATAACAATACCTTGAGTTTCTGAGAGGTCAAAACCTCCTGCTTGATCTCTTTAAGTCGTGCCTCTTTAATGGCTGTTTTTGTCACAGCTCTCATGGCATCCTAAAATGTTCCAAGTTATATAAAATAATAACACATGAAAAACTTTGCAAATATCATAAAAATTAAACAGATTATGAAAGTTAAATAAACATTGAGAAAAAGCTTTGCAAATATTATAAAATCAGCTAGATTATAAATGTTACACTACTTAAGAAATAAACATACAGGAATTCAATTTTCTACGTCATGATTCAACATTTCTTTTTGACAAATTGAAATACATTTAAGACACTGGTGTTGTTGTCCCTCTGACATAGAGCGACTGTCAAATAGAATATTAATTACAGAATAAATAACATAAAAAAAAGACTGATGATAAACTTTCTAAACCATGTATTGATATCATGTATAAATGTTACAGTACCTTGGCTCGATATCTGAAACCTTCTACTTCTTCCATTTTGAAGTTATAGGGTTTAAATACAGTTTCTCCATTTTCTGAAAGATATAATTTGATCAATAATTAATTTCTTAGCTCATTTCCGATCTCATGTATAAATAAACGATGATGAACTCACCAGCCATCTTCTGTCCATATAAGCACAAAAAGGATTTAATATATGACTATGGTCAATCAATCACTAACATTGTCATGTTTCAATGAATTATGCATATGCCTCTTAACATATACCATAGGTATAATATTGTAAAAGTCAAATATGTGGTGTTCAGAAATCTGCCACTACAGAATTTAATATCTATGAAAAATAAATTCTACATATTCATGAATTGACAGATTTAAAAAAGGGGATTAAAATAGGTTATGTGGTAGTATCCAGCTTTCTTTTCTAAAGCATATACATGTAGTAAGTGTAGCCAAATTAATTTTAATTGCAATGACTGTGAATAGATTTTTTAAAAGAGGTATCTAAGTATTGGTTTGTTTAAAACAATAAATACACATAGATAAATAATGCAACAAATTACATATTAATACATATATACCTGAGGTTTCTGACAATGAGCTTTCAACTGCCTCCAACAATGGCATCTCCTTCAAACTGACAAAGGAAAGAGCTGTGCCCTGATTGTCTCCCCTCGCTGTTCTACCCACACGGTGGATGTATGCATTGACAGTTTCAGGAAAGTCAAAATTGACCACATTTGACACATTTTGGAAATCAATTCCTCTAGACACACCATACTCACGATCTTTCTTCGAGTGCCTAAGAGAACAAAATATAACATCATTAATGCATGTGTAGTTATAATGATTTCTTCTTAAACAAATCAACCTTGAGTCTTATCAACAAGAGTTGTTGCAAAACAACAGTTCACCTCGGAAAAGTGTTGGTCGATAACAAATGAAAGACACAGTTCAGCATTTGCTTATTGTCTGTTGATATCACCGTCGATGTGAACTTTAAAAGGGGAATTTCTTTACACCAAGTTACCTGTCCATGTTATATTTCAATAATAGTTTTTTATAATCCTATTAGAGAATTCTCTGAAACATGTCAGAAAGCAGGTCTCTAAACAATCCTCCACCATCCAACCCACAAAAAAAAAAAAAAAAATGCTTTGTCTGAATATGGAAAAGGACAATAGAACCCCTTGTCTGACTGACTATGGAAAGGAATAGATAACCCCCACCAAGGGCCTTGTTACAGAACTTGGTACCCTAGTACAATGATGGAGTGATATACTGATGTCTCTCACAACAAGTGCTTGCACTTAAATCTTTGATTAGACAAGCTAAAAGGAACCAGATTAATATTCTCTGCATTGTTTGAATCATGTAATGAAATACAAAAATTTGATCTGTCATTTTGTATAAACTGGAAAAATCCTAGTAGTAAATATAACCCCAAATTCAGAAAATCGTTGTTTCTTGTCATGCTATACAGTGTGCTGCAAAATTCATTAAAATGCAAACCCTCTTAATAAATAAATATGAACATTCTTTAACCAGTGTATGGCTGGATATAAAACACCAGAATATCTCTAATTATACATACCTTTTTACTTTGCTTGGGTTTGGTTCTGCAAGCATTGTCTCATCAGAAGCGATGATGTAGTCATACAGATTGTCATTAAATTGGTTCACCACATGGCACCTACAGCAGATCAACACACCACATTAGAAAACATGTATATGTCAAATTATCAAAGCATAAACAATTAACATTCCTCAGTTTTCTCCCCATTAGGATTTAGTTGGTTATGTAATGGTACAAACACTACTGATATTATATCATTAATATGTGTATAGGTCTGTTAATTTATGCATATCAAAGCAAACAATTAAACTTTTCAAGAAATCGGGTACCAAAATGTATCAGAGATTTATATGGTGCATCACTACTTATAGTGTCTGCTAACTTGTATATTTTGACATAAGACAAAAGCACACAGGGGTCTGTAAACTGATTAACTCTAAGATATTAAAATACATTTACACATATTAAAGAAATAATTATGTTTATTAAGATTTGCACCAAATTAAAATAATTGTACCTTGAGTTGACTGGAAGCTCTGAATTTAACACACATGCAGAAATACCAAACTGTTCTAAAAATAACTTCAATCTGGAAAGAGAAATAATCAACTTTTATCTATAAAATCATCACAATCATTTTGAAAAGTCCAATAATTTTTTAAATTTTAAAATGGGCTAGTAAATAAGTTTAAAAACTTTTAAGTTACGCCATGGACCAGAGAAAGCCAAGACACAGAAAAAAACTGCAGCATAACACTTTCTATGAAGCAAAGAATTCCAAAGCAATGTGATGCATGTGCATCTTACAGAACAGCAGCAAAAGGAGACAAAATTGAAAGTCAAAATAATTCTGAGGTTAAGTTCTTGAACACATCAAACTTGAATAAACTACACTACTGCAGAATTCTCCTATGCATATTTACCACCAAAGTGGTAATATGATCAAAACAATGCAAGCTTGATTTTCTTCTTCAGAGAAGACAACAGTCTTTATTTGAGGATTATTTACAATCTCTGGTCGATAAACGGACTCATACAATAAATTTCTGGCTAAACAGACAGGAAACATGTAATCAATTATGGACAGTATGTAACAAGTGTCTGAAAAATTACCTTTATAAGTACTTATTTCTGAAGTGTTTATGAAAATTTTCGTCCGAACATTAATTAAAAAACTGATTGACCTTCAAAAACTTTTAACATCTTACTTGTAACATTTGTTGACAGAATTTACAAACAGGATAGTTTTTCCTTGAACAAGTTTCAGCTTCAAAAGTACATAAATCAAAGCAAACTTGTCCTCCTCTTCACATCTGAAAGATACAACAATGTTTAAAATCAGAAATACTGAATTATACCTACCAGTAATAAGACAACTGGATTCATTTTAACAAAATGGCTAATAACATCAATATAATCTGTTTCTTTTAATTTTCTTATCACTGTACAGTTCAATACCATTCAAATACATGTACAGAGTAACATAACTAGGAAAGCTGTAGGAATTTCCAGTTAAGTATCAAAGGCACTGAAAAGTTCAAAGATTATCTCACAGAAAATACAGATAAATATGTAAAATGGTCAGGAAATTAAAACTGGTCTTTATTGTAACAGAAGGCAACTTAATACGTTCCTCAGCTGAAAGAGATTAGAAAAGGATTGATGGTGTTGTATACTATTATACTAACTTAATATGGTACTGTGTTAGCTGTGCAGCCTCTGGTAACTGCGATTCTTCTAGCTTTAATATCACCTATTAAAAATCGAACAATACATTACAATCAGACAAGATTTCACACAATTACTTCAATTTTTCTAATGTCATATTTTCAAATGACAACAAGATGCAATAAGTGATCTGAAGACTCATCCATTCAATTACAGACATAATAGACAGCAAGTTCAAAACACAAAATTTATAATATTGTAAACTTGTCTCAGTATATCAAGTTCTCAACCATAAGAAAATAATGGCCTAAATGTAAATAGGAATACTTTGATAAGATACACATTTTCAAGCATTATGTGCCATGATTTTCCAATTGATTTAATTCTCCAATCAATTTACCTTTCTTCTACAAATTAAGAAGATAAAAATTTTACATGTGAAGATTCCAAATTGAAGATGGTTGTTTTTATTAGGTCATTGAAGATAAAGCAGGAATGTTATAGTAAACTGGAATCTTATTCTGTTTATCAATCCTATTTCTGAAAGTGAATTAATCAGTTTTTTTAACATAAAATTGTAGGCCTGTATTGGTTTTTAATTCATTCAAAGTAATAGCTATGATGAGTTGACTTCTTACCGCATTGTGAAGTACCATCTTTTTCAATGCCTTGACACTGTCATTGAGTGTAGCTGACATCAGGAAAGCCTGGTATATTTTAGGCAGATGTCTAGACAAAAAAAAGTATCAAAATTATATGTTCTTAACCAGATAACAATCACAACTGATTACGGTAGTATATATTTAATGATAGCATACACTGTAATATTTGTAAAAGCAACGCTCAAGTTTTAGTCACACTAATTCTGCAAATCAGATCACAAACTCACAACATTAACAAGTTTGACATTTTCTGGCAAGTTACTGGATTTACATATGTTCAGAGTCCTACATTGATTTCTGAAATTGTCAAATCTTTTACTTCCGCAGACTGCAAATTTGACATCATTATATGACTTCATGAACATGTAAACCTAAAAATAACATGCTTTCTGATCACCATATTAAATACCTACATGAAGCATGATGTCAGTATCTGGATAGGACAAACTCTTAAGAAAATAACTTATGGAGTTCTGACTCTTGAATCCATTTCAAACCAGAAAATATATTAACAATATGAAGGTCTTCACTCCTATGTAAACCAGAATGTGATTAGGTGTAAAACTTGAGGTCATGATACTATGGGGTGGTTATGAACCAAATCTGTTGAAAGATTCTTAAGATATAACATTGATTTGGCATGGGACAGACAGGTGGACAGACTTGGGTAAAACTGTATGACCCCATCTAAAAGGTAACAGGGGCATAGACATATTTCACTTGGTTGTTTGACAAGATAAATATGTTATAAATAATTTTAATTTTGACAAGTGTATAAAAGTCAGCATTAGCATCATGAACATAATAACACTGAAGTAATGGACACCTGAAACAGCTGTATCCTGATCTACCTATATAAGCATGTGGCTTATATACCGATGCACCTTATATGGGCAAAATACCTACAAACCATGTCATGTTTACCTATTTGACCTTAACCTATGATCATGACCTTAAGTAGTGTAGTTACAAGTCTTCTTGATTGATTCTAACCAACCTCGTGATCTAGTGATATCGGTAGGCTGTTGGCTGCAAGGTCAAGTTCAAGTTCTCACTGACATTAACCCTCTTAAATTCTAAACTGTTTTAATAAGACAAGCCTGACAGATAGTTAATTTTAACCAACTAATGGGTAGAAAGACGGAGAGCATAACATCATTAAATGACCCATCAAACACAGGTGTATACATTTATAATTTTTAGAACATATTTATTCTCATTAAAAGATATGTATTTACCCCAAGATACCCTTGATGTCATTTTCATATCCAAAGGAGAAAAGAAGGTCAGCCTCATCCATTATAAGAAGCTCTAAAGAATCCTTAATGCACAAGTTTCCAGCGCGGATATGTGCCAGGATGCGTGTTGGCGTCGCCACCACAATGTCCGGTTTCTCAGCTAGCATGGGTCTGAGTGGAACACAAAACATTGACTCACAATTCAACAATGACACAAACACATTAGTATTCCTAATAAGTAGAATATTAATAAGTATGTTGCATATATTAACTATGAATCAACTTTTACAAGCACCTACTGTAAAATTCTTCTATGTGTATTAAGACATGATCTATGACTGTTTCCCCTATTGAATTGTTAATGATGTAAATATGTCAACATACAAATGTACAATATTTCAAGAAGCAGATACATATACTAAAGATCAATTGTTGTAGATCAAAACTTACTTCTGTGAGGGGAGGGGCATCTGTGGAGATATATCCAGACATTTCACTTCTCTTGAACAACTTGAAGTTAATGCCTGTGGAAATAAAACCATTGACAAAGATGTTGTCAACTATTAATGCCAAGTTCTACTTATTATCACATTATGCCATAACAAATGAAACATAATATTAAGCGATGTCTACTACATATGTATTTTCACAATCTCTTTTTAAAGGATCAACATTTTAATCACTAGTTTCATGTTTCTATCCTAAAGAAAACAACTCGCTTTTCCTCTTACATAGGGCATTATCTGAGAATAAGTCCATTCCCTACGTTTGTCCACGTTCAGTGCACTAGCCCCTTAGGTTTATACTTGGTATAACATAATACCGGGTACATACATGTCTTTTAATTGAGTAATTCAGGTAAAGAAATTTCCTCTTGGCAAGTTTAACAACATTAGAAGTAACCAGTATTAAGAACTAGCCTATACAGAAAAAATTAGTAATTACACAAGATCAGGTTCTTATAACAGAATACAACAGAAATAAAGAACCTGAAAAAATTAACTCTATGGGATATTATAATTTTGTTTCTGTATATAAATGAAGCCTGCTACAACACAATTCCTGAATTAGATGAGAGCTAAATAGAATAATATATCTCCAGGAGGTAAGAATTTGATATACAGTAATAAAATTAACTGTCTATAGGTTAGAATTACCGATAAAAGGTATTTAGTACTTGACAATGGTCAGACAGGACTGACTGTTAATTCTTAAATCATAGAAAGAAGTCATTCAATACATAGTTAAGTTAAATGGGATTATAAGTGTCTGAAGAGAAAGGCACTATATGTATCAGATAGGTATGCATGCAGTGAGCTCAAGGACAACTTTGAATACACATTGACAGATACAGCTAACATTATTTCTGAGGTTCTATCACATTTTCTTACACTGGTTTAGTGTTATAAAGAAAAATGTTGAAAGAGTGTCAAAATCATTTGGACCAGTAATTTTTGTAGATCTTTTCCTATGAGTCCAAAACACCATTCCCAAAATTTTGATGATTTCCATTACTAAGAGACGTAGTGGATAATCAAAATACGAGCAAGTCCCACAGGAAAATTGTGAATCAATAACTCAAATATCTGAGTCCGAACATCACTGTCAACTAGATGATAGAATGAATGTCTGGTGTTGTAACGCCATCATTGTGAGAAAACATAATTACCAAGATATTTCTGTAAGCCTGATCACATAACTCCTTGCTTGGTGTCAGTACAATAGCCTTTACACACTGTTCCTTGCTCGTCTAGTTGATTAAAAATTAAAAAAAAAAAGTAATACCTGTTATGATATATTTCAAAGTATCATCAATACATTTAAACTGAACATATTGATTCATATATGTAGAACTCCAGATATAAGTCCTTCCTTTCCCTTACTTCCTATATGTAAAGATAACATACTTGGTAACCAATCTTTATTAAAACAGAATAGTTTTTAGTTTTATAATTTTTATAAATTGTCAGCTGGAATGGAAAATGAAATAACTCTTAAATTCTAATTACATCTCCAGCTCTCAACCACATGATATTCAAATGATAATTTCCTTCTTTAACTGTTGCTTTACCTGATAATAAATGGTGCATGAAAAAAATATGACCAGTTGACCATAAACACAATACACTGTACAATGTATACTTATTTTTACTTATCAGCAGCATTTACAAGTAATTCTTCAAATCAATGTTCCTGAGAAGTAAATTGATATCCTTGAATGAAGTTGGAATAAAGTGAATTCCAGAAACTTATCTTGAGATCTGGATCTGTATTTTTGTACATACTGTTTTTGCAGCCAGAATTTTCTGTATGACGGGAATACAGAATGCTGCTGTTTTTCCTGATCCAGTCCGGGCTCTGGCTAGAATATCTTTACCCTCCAAGGCCAAAGGAATCGCCTTTTCTTGTATAGGAGTAGGTTTGTACCAACCAAGATCTGATATTGACTGTAAAATCAACTTCAATAAGTCAATGATGACAAAGTTTTACTTTATTCTCTGTGGCATAAGAAGCATGAATATATTTCATATAACACTTGTAAATCTGTGTATCTTTACTATATAATGTCAAGACCTGGATTTTATATTGCTTTTTTCAGAGTAATATGTTTGTGAAATAAAAACTCGTCGTGTGAGTATGACGGCCAGTTCAACTTCTGAAAAATTAATTATTTAAATAATTGACATTTCCACTGTTAACCTCCTGTGATTATAACCCGATTACTGTAAGTGTTGTCATTTTGTTAACGCATATCAATGCATTTTCCTACAACCAATATCGAGTGATTTTGTTAAGATATAAAATTTTCCAAAAGAAGGGCATATCTACCTTTAGTATGCGGTCGTCTATGCCCATTTCGTGAAATCCGACCTGTTTTTCTTCAACTTCATCGTCAGAATCATGTCCTTCCATTTTCACAACATGCGTTTTTCTCACAACCGGAAACTATATGCAGTATTCTAATTTCTCACTAGGAGTTCCGGAACGCTGAAAAAGTACTGATTCCAAGGATACCTTGTACGCGTGATAATTTAACCGTTGACCTATTGTGATATCTCGACCACCGGTACCTGTGTCAAAATAAATTGACAATAAAGCCATGCGGAGACAAAGTAATGTTCATCGGCACAAACCAAGAGAAAATGGAACATCGGAAATGATAGTCAATGCAGGTAGAATATATGCAAAAAGTCAGTAAACCGTTAACAGCATTTATTTTCCAAATTATTTCCACAAACGAATGTACCAACAAACACGGACTCCTAAGTCCATGCAACTAAACACCATATCAGTATTTAGTTACTTACTTGGAGTTACTTAAATTAGAGTGGGTTGATGTTACGCTAGACTCGAGGTTGTTTCCCTAATTTCTTATGTTCCCGTCACTTCCTAATGGGGCTATGAAATTACACAGAACATTTTTCCCAAATACTTATCCAGTCTATTAATAAAAGTGTTCTTTATTTCCCCTGTTCTTATCCAGTCTATTAATAAATGTGTAATATTAATATTTTTTTCTCAGTCAAGTAATTTTTCCTTAGATTTTCAGAGAATTTCCTCTTATTCCATGTCTGTATTTTCCATAGTAACACAAAACTGTCTGCTTCTGGGTCATAGTGATTGTGTATAATTTCATACAACTCAATCATGTCACCTCTTAATACTCCAGAGATTACAATCACTTTCGTTCTTTGCACCCCTATAACATGGCAAAATTGAAGACACAAGCACTTGAAGTAAGTTGAATGATTCCAGGAGATGAAAACTGACCAGTCACAGGCTGATGCACTCCTTTTGACGATTACAAAGAAGCGACATCCAACTTCAAAGCCATTACAATGACGTGTTTCAGGGGTTCAGAGAGCGAAAATGTTCATAACAGCTGGAGTATCGTGGGTGTATGACAGTGTAGACAGAATTAATTACTCCAGTCTCTCAAGATAGCTCAGTTTTTTTAATTTGGATATCTGCTTTGTTACTCGTCTTTGAACTACTTCTAACATTTCAATGTGATTCATTTTGTACGGCGATCACACGCGGCTAGCAAAATCTAGATGCGTTCTGACTAAGTTTTTACAAACAGGAAAAAACAAGTGTAATTTGGGGTATTGGAAAGTTTTGTGTAAAACGGCAAACATAGAGTTTGCATTGTTGATTTTTTCACATAAATGTTTTGAATTACTATGATCACTCTGATGTCTTTCTCCATTTTTTGCTTTCTGTAATATTTCCCTTTCAATGAGAGCATAGATTATATAGATAATGTTTTTTAAACTGATGTGCATGTTCTTACACTCGGCTGGATAAGTCTTGTTTTTGTCAGTAAAAAAACATAAGTTAAGAGGTCACCTAGTCACGAACTCGAAAGAAAAAGCTGAGAGGTAATACTCGTCTCTGGAGCAAGTTTAAAGTTATGCAGAATACAAAACCAAAAAGAAATCACGAGGACCAAAAGATTTTTTTCTCCATTCATGCTTACTGTGTCGAAAAAATGCTGCACTAGTGAATGGTAACAATCTAGATTGAACTTGATATCTAGTCCTTCCGAATGGTTGTTTATCCTTGATTTGAATACATTTAGTTTGGTTGCACTAATCACTTCATTCGATAAACTGTTTCAGTCTTTTTACCAAATCAAATAAGTGCCTTCTACAGTCCTGTCTGGAGTGTTTGCTGCCATATTTAGAAGTTATGCCCCCTTGTTCTGTTGCTCTTAATAATTTCAAACATTGACCTGTTTCTTCATTTCCATTGAGGATTCTAAAGATTTGAATGACATCAGACCTCTTTTGTCCTTTTTTTGTTAAGTTGGAAGTCAGCGATAGTTGTCTGTCTGGATATGAAAAGCCGTTTATAGATCTAACAGGCTTAGCGGCTCTTCTTTACACGTTTTCAGTTGTTCTGATGTCGTTCTTTAACAGTGGATTCCATACAGTTACTACATAGTTAAAATGGGTTCCAATGAAGTCTTTACACAGTGTAATAAACATGTCTTTGATCGTGTATGAATGCTTCTCTTTAATAGCCTGTCTGTTCGCCTCTTTCACACTACTCGCTACATGGCAAATGTGACTCCTATATCTTTTCTTGGTCTCCTGTTTGTACTGTGCATTTCGTTGTTGAGTCCACAGTGCAAAAAATGAAGTAAAATAATTGACAATGATACGAGAAAATCGTGGTACTGTATAAATCAAATTACTTACAATTATAAGTAAATGGTGATTTCTAATTAGGTTTGTTCATAATACATTACCAAAGCATGGTATTCTAAGGGGAAAGACACACACATACACAAATTTAAGGATGTTACAACGGCTATATGTTTGATGCAACTATTCTGGTCAAAATATGTTTGTTGTGGTTAAGTACAATATCTTAGGATCGAAAATGGTTATCAAGTATGATGATTTTTGAGGCAATGGAAAGGGTTGATAGTACATCATCTGGTACCAATAACAGAGCATACAATTTTTGTTGGTTGGTTGACAAGTTTTACGTCTCCTCGACTCCTCCAGTGTCCGGGAATCATCTCAACGACCATATTGTCAGTGTTCTGGCGACGTTATAGCATACAACGGGAGATAACCCTTATATATCATCTCATTCATACCAAAGCGAGGTTTTGTCGTAATCGCGGGAAGAAGATGGCTGCACAACACGTGAAACGATGACATAAAATGGATAAATATCCCGAAAGCATAATTGGTGCTAACGAGACATTATTGCATTTAGCTCATATTGGAAGGTATTGATGTATGCAATTGTACTGGCACTCGGTCATTATGTATGCACATAGTAAAATCCTAAATACCATTTCAAATATCGTTTTCAAAACATTGGCAACTGTCAACATCCATGTGTAAAGTTTGCTCCAGTCACTGCCTGTTTTGCATGAAACATGAATACTTATGTATTTAATACGACATTCCAGTGTCGTATATTGTATTTAAGATCCCGTAACGAAGAGTTGAAAATATTCAGCTGGTCTGTGTTTGTGGAGTAATGTAGGTCAAGTAGACAGTGGTATTTTGATATAGAACTTGCTGTAATTGGTCGGTTCTTTCAAGGTAAATACTAAATTTGGTTAGATAGATATCAATTATTCTATAAAAGTTAGAAATGCATCTCAGAATAGATACATTTTACCGAAGGATAACTTTGAATATGTTTATAGGGCTAGATGTAAACAAACACATTCCCATAACATCCGGGTGACGGCTCGCGAAAGCTCATTAGGCAAGTGAGTGAGTGGCCCGAACAGATGTACAACCTAGGGCGTAGGCCTCGATAGCAGCAACGCATGATTATTTTGGTTATATGCTCAGGAACACTTTGAGATTGTGGATTTAACAAACAGCACTTGCTGAAATGACAAACTTTATTAAAAAGAAAATATTTTGGAGCATCCTTCAGCTACTGTAGTACTTAACGTGGCCTCGTAAAAGTGTTACGTAATTGTATATGCAGTTGAAGAAACAACACTGTAGTTACCCTTCAGTGTGTTCAGCCCTGTCAACTTCAACGAGATGATTGCCTATTCTAGTCAATGGTCATGCTCACCAATACATGCATTTCTGCTTGGAAATTAATGATAATTCCCTAAGTATTGGTGAGTAGATAAATAAACTATTTGCCATCTTTCAAACTCTTGAGCCTTTTCAGATAACAGCATAAAAACCATAACAGATATCTTGAATACAGATGCATGCGTGGGTCCTCAAGAATCACCTAATCTCTCAGTAATGGGACTTGTCAAACATTTTGAAAACTATCCTTACTAAAAAAAAACAACTCTCGACAGTAATCTGTTCATAAACTTGAATTGGTGAATGTCATTTAACCCAGACAAGTGTGAAATCCTCCATATATAGCAAAGAATTATATTTTAGAGTATATTGGTGAAGTTGGAGAAACCTGAAGCCATGAGCAAACAATGCAAACTCACCGAAGAAATATATTTTAAACAGTAAAAAAACTGAAACTCTAAATGTTGCACAAGCTGTGGATATATCTCCTGCAACAAATGCTGTTACTTGATGATGAATACCTTGATGTATTTTAACTAATTATAAAGGTAAATTGTGGAATTAGGATTCATTTTGAATAACGACCGACTCGGTGGTTCAATGGTATTGGGATCAAATTTATTATCAGCACAAAGAAATCCCTAAAAAGGCAAAAACACGACTATACAATAGGAGCACATAAAACTACTTTTTACAAAAACGTTATGGAACGCACTACACAATTACTTTACAATACATAATGCGAACCACTGGACATCTGAAGAAAGAGTTAATATATAAAAGACTGAACTTGTAAAGCAATAGTAATAACTAATGAGTAATAATCATTTACAAATAGTTCACGGCAACTTACCCTGCATGTGGTGCTGGAGATGTATACTTGTATTTCAAATAATGTCCAACCCCTTTGAAATCTGCTGCCCAAGTGAAAAGAAAGACAGAAAAGCGGGAAAGGACAGGAAGATAGACAGCGCGCAACAAAAGAATACAACACATCACATAACACCACACACAATTACACACATTACATAACCATACGCAATATGCCTAGCACGGGCCGCAATGCAAAATACATATAAACCGAAAGTGACGGTCACATGATCTAGCTACACGACGCGATAATGCTAATTAACAATAGCTACAACTGCCATGGACAGTATTAAACCAAAGAAACTATTACCGTTTCAAATATTTATCATTTAATCAAGGTGCCACAAAATCATACCAGGTTCAAATGATTTTGCTATGAATTGTTAACTATTTAGTCATAATAAGCAAAGTTATACACTAATACTCTAGAACATGCTTCTTAAATTGCTCAGAAAAAGCACAGCCAGGGTAGAAATTGATGATAGCTGAGCAATGTATCAATTTATACCTGAAACTTTCAATTAACAAAAAAGAATTATTCTGAACATTTAAAAGTCTGACAATGGGTCATCCTTAATACCCTTCATATAACATCATATTATTGCATTTCAATTATATGAATATGATATGTTGCTTGATTTGCTTCTTTGAATTCACTGCTTTAAAGTGTGAAAGAACTTTTGTTTCTTTGCAGGTTGGAATTACAATATGGAACAAAAAAATGAAGAACTGTTGATGAGAGAGATAAATCACAGAGAAGATGGCGCAGACTGACCAAGAAATATATCTTGATGGTAAATTAATATGTTTAACTCTTACAATACTGTGTACTGATCATTGATCAGCTTCTGTAATTACCTGAAAGGTCCACAGAACTCTGGTGGGTTTGTTTATTAATTGGCTAATGCAATCTAAGCATTAAATTGGTTTTAAACTCTTTGACACTTTGAACTTGTCACTAAATTTATATGTGTGGGTAGGTGCCATGCCACTAAGTTTCCGAAAGTGCTACTGAAACTTCCCGAAACTGAGTCTTCATTATGCATACCAAGATTGCCTTTCGTAAGATATGATGACAAAATAATCAAGCATGAACTTTAATTTAGGATAGATTGTGTATGTTTTGTTTATTTTTACATGACCCATGGGACACCAAACTGCAGCATTTAAATGTCATCATAACAAATGTTGTCGTTGCCATGTTTAAATTAAGGTGAATACACTTCCGATACAAAGCTTATAAGATGTTAAAGTAAATGAATTGAACTTCCAATTTTTACGAACTGAAGTAAGGATTAACTGACTATAGAAAACCATCACATGTGACCTATCAACTTGATATGGTTTTGTTGTATATGTAATTTGGTAGTTAAACCTCGTTTCATAATAATAAGACTTCCTCTGAACATAGTATCAGCTATTTTGACAGTTATTGTGAGAGGCATTTGGCCACACATTCAGATACATCTAATAGCTGCTTAGAACTTTCATCCAATTCATTTGTGCCAAATTGTCCTTTGTTTTGCCACAGATAGTTATAGTCCATTGAATCTAACCATATTGGTGCTTATCCATTATAACAGAGGATAAGTGGAAGTAGCATTGGAATATTATGTAAAAACAAAAATGTTTAATCAAAGTACATGATTATTGTTTCTTGGATACTTGGTCACAATCCCATAATGCATACAGTATTTTTTTTGCATGTTCACAGTGATCATACTGTATCCCTACCCCACAACATCTGATTGAAAAGAGAAAGTTATTTTATTTCACACTACTCCTTTATTTGGGTTTAGGAAATCAGATAAACTGCTTAAATTTACTACTATTTTTTTGTTTTAATTGCAGAAAATGACATACTCCAGTCTGAAATTGACGGGTCAGGTAACCTTGTGTTCTATGTGATGCCAGATAAGACTGGCCAACAAGGCGTTACGGATCTGGTGTATGATATACCTGTAGTTGACAAGCATGGACCATGTTATCAGGTGGGCGCTAATACTATCCTTGACACAGACTCCCAACTGATTGCTAAACCGAGTGCCAGTGTCTCACTAGATGCAAAAGGTACAGTTTACCAGTATACTGTGCCAATGACTTCTGCAGAGAACTACCAGTTACACTTAGAACAAGGGGCAAAATACTCAAATACTGACAAAGTAGTTGTTGAGAGAGTGAATTCGGTGGAACAATTTCCTGCTTATAACTTGCCTTCTGGGATTTCTGCTAATATGTTAGACCACAGCACTACTGCAGACATTATTCTAGCTTCTGCTGAGGAGCCTGACCACAGTGATGCATCTACCTTACAAGTCCAGACCTATTCATCCCAGGATTATGGGACTTTGATGTCGATGCCATTTGTTCCAACAAATGGGTCTACTGATAACCAGACCTTGCAGATTCCAACTGGTATGGAAGATACACAGATACTGAGCAATTTTAATGCGGAAACCTTGGAAAGTTTGCAGTCATTACTAGGCGTGGATGTAGACACAACTAGTACAACCACCACAGAGGAGCTGATTGGTTCAGCCTTTGATCCTGAAACCACAACCATAAGTCATGTCAACAACAACAACGCTCTCCCAACAAATGTAGATAATCCTGTAACTGCAAAGCTAACACAGCGAAAAACTTCATGTCATGAAAGCCAGGGGGATATCCGAAGATCAAAACGACTTATAGGAAAGACCGTAAAATATGATCAGCTTGTAAATGCTGCATTTGCTGAATTACAAGCTGAGAAGGCAAAGACAAAAAGAGAACAACAAACAGAAAAAAAAGTAGCACACAAGACTCCACAAGTAGATGTCAATGAGGTCTTCATGAATCAGAAAGAGGTCAATATGTTGAAGAAAAGTGTGAGTAGCTTTAGCCCTGACTTCTCATCATATCCACAAGGATGTAAATGTAAAGATCTAGCTAAAGGGACAGACATTCCTATTGAACAAATCTGGCTTCACAAGAACCAGATGTACTATCTGCCTCAGATTAACATTTTGGTGATCAGCTATGAGGAATTTGTTGGCTTCCGTCGTAAAGACAAATGGTATGTTAGTGTAGGGGAGATAACACAGAGACTAATACCTAACTTTCGTAACGAGGTAGAGTCGTATCTCGTAAAAAATGTGTGTGATAAACAGTTTCTTTCTCTTGAGGAGATTGAATACCTAAAACAGAGAAAGTGTGTCAACCAGAACATGAAATCTGGTATTATGATATCTTTAGACACCCTCAGGGTAATGTGCAAATATTTAGCCAGTAGCAAAGCTTTCATTCAGGCACCAACAACAGGATTGTCTAATGCAGCTCATGGAAGTATCTATAGAAAGGTATTAGAAAAAAACACAAGATGTTCAAAATGTGGTGGAGCAGTGAAGAACATTGCAGCCATGGATAGATACATACTTGTGGATTCTTCTAAAGAATTGCAATACAGCAGTAGAATTGAACAGAAGTCCATTTATATTGGTGAGGTTAACATTGGAAACCTACCCTTTCAGTCATTTAAACAAGATGAGTTGACTTATATTTCTCTGAAGGAAATTGTTGAGTGTCAGATGTTTAATCTCCAAGTACTTCAGTCGAGACTTGTTCAGCTTCAATACCGACCTCGACCAGCCCCCACTGCTGTGGATGATCACTTTTTCAATGTATGTGTGGATGTTAATCAGACATTGTGGATTGACCTGATGACCTTGCGCTGTGTATGTAGCATGAGTCGATTACGCTCCCCCACATCACAAGTGGAAGTGTTGCAACAAATGATTTCCAGGGGCCAGTACACATGTATCTTTAAAACTGAGATCATTGCTGTTGATGACTATGACTCTACCAATAATGAAACTGTGTACACGTTGGATCCCTACACTTTCAAGATCACAACAAAACATAATTATAACCAGTCTATCAACTCCAATGCTAGTCGTAAACTTCAACGGTCAACATCTACTGAGGATGAGAAAAGAAAGGAAGTGACTAAAGCAGATTTGAAAAGTGATCTTTCCTCTTTGAAACATAAAATGAGGTCTTGTAAAGTGACTTTAGAACGTTCTCCTGAGAAAGGTGTTGTGAAAGCATTGTCCCTCAAACCAGGTGTGTACTACTTTTCTGACAAGAATAGTATTGTAGACTTTCTGAAAGGTAAGACAATGAATAATTCTGTTGAAGAAAACATGGACTGTGAAGAAAAGTCTGATTTACCATCACTCTCAAAACCAGTTCAGTTTCGAGTGAAGCCTTGCCCAAATAACACACCACACCTAATGACTGGTGGTGTTCACACCTATTCAAGCAACACTTCAAAGAACAGTAAAACAAGTGTAGCTTCTAAAAGAGGCTATAAAAAGAAGTTTCAGGACATTGAAATGGACACAAACTCCAACAATTCAGGGGCATTGAGGCAGAGCTTTCATGAAGATGTTGCATATCATGAGGTTAATAGTAGAAAGGAAAATGATGTTTCAAGTTCAGTTCCATTCTACCAAGACATTGAAACAGAACATCTTGCATCAACACAACATTATCATGATACGCATGAAAACTATGCATCTGTATCTAACTTGTCATCTGACCATCCTCATGTTCATGGCCAAGTGGATAGTCCAGAAGTGCAGGACAAAAATGTGGACAGCACTGCAGCTAATAATGCAGAGGAAGAGTTAGAATATTCAAACAGTAATAGTGGAAGTGGTAGTTTGACAACTTGCTCTAACTCTGTAAGCCCTAGAGAGATGGACATACAGAGTACAGAAACCCAAAATAATTATGTGGAATTTCTCGGCAGAAAGGAGGTCCTTGATGACAACTGCGACTACTATAGTGACAATGATTCTGGAGAAATGGAGGAAAACATAACAAATTCAAACACATGTGGTAAATCTGACAATTACCAACATTCTGTCAAAATGATGTCAGAAGAAAGTAAGCTCTTCTCTCCTGTTCCATCAAATAATGAGCTGAACTTGCCTACATCAAAGTCACATTTTTCACCGAAAGGATTGCAAAGGACTCTTAGCAAAGGAGAAGATTGTTCATCAGTTTCAGAGTCCTCAGATTTGCATGCACAAATATCTTTTCCATTCTGTACTGGGGATTCTACAACAACTAAGACAAAACCAGCACAAACTGAGGCACAGTGTAATAAGTTTTCGTCACCATTTAAATCTGACAAATGTGACATTTTAGAGACACCAGATGAGATTAGCAGAGTGGGTTTAATGTCACCAGGATATGGAGGAATCTTTTCTACACCATGTGTTTCTCCAATTCTTGATAGAAAATTAAATGAAAAGGGAAGCACAAAAAAAATGGAAAGCTTATATTACAAGTGTGCTTCATTGGACACCTCTTTAGATGCAGACAAATCTTTACATATGTTAGCTACTATTGCAACGGATCTGGAAACTCTGGATAAAACATCTTCACAATCAAATGTATCTGACAGGAAGGATCCATGTGTATTAGAAACAGAGGTTGGATGTGAGGATGATGAGGACAAACCTGTTGGTACTGAATCGGCAAGGAAAAAAGATAGTATTATGTTCTTTCTCCAACAGCTGTTGGATGATGTTGAGATTGAAAGAAACTTGCCTTCTGGAAAACAAATTCGAGTGAAGTTTAAGAAAAACGCTAAAACTCGCTACCCTGGTAAGAAAAACTAATTTTTACTTGTAAATGTGAGTCATCAAAAATTCAACTTTTTATAAACATGTAATTAAACTTGCTAGGACATATTATACCGGTAGTCAATCTCAAGTAACTAAATTTGTATTGGTCTAAGGTCAGTGTTTTACTATTTCAATTGACTTAAGATATCTCAGCTTTTTAACATATTGCCTGATGCTTATACATATTTTTTTTGTCAAATTTCTTTTTGGTTAGCACTTTGGAAGGAGGCCGGACAGATGAGACTGAAGAAGATAGTCAAACTTTTGGCTCTAAGTGCCCCTTTCAGGTATGTGTGTTATATAAAAGTTTAACTGCTGGATATGATATAAAAATTTTTCTTCAGTATATGACCATTTGATAGTTTTACTTAGGTTATTGTTGTATATTGTGCTAAATACATACATCTTATAAGTCTACACAAAAAAACAATATTTTCAAATTTATTCATATTGCTGTATTCTATCTAAGTAGAAAAAGTAAAATAAGCCATTTTTAAAAAAGCTGAATTTTTTCAGGCATCAATCAAGTGCGTCCATTGTTTTCTTCAGAAGGTTTGCTTCATTTATTAGTTTTAGTATGTTAATGTTTATTCTTGGATAAAAAGAAAAACAAGAAAATACCAACATGCCAACAGAATCATAAACCAAACTCAAAGTCAATAAAATCAAGGCAAAACATGAACAAATGAAAGATTTAAATGAAGATTCCTGAAAAACTTCAAGGAGAATAAGACCAGGTGTTCCTGAAAGCTAAGCATTTTTCTGCTTCATCAACAACACCTGCCGTGTAAGTCTTGGTCAATCCAAGTAAGTAGTGTCACATTCTCAGATGAGTACAATGTTTTCAGAAATGGAACCAACGGGCACACTAACAACCATTAAACATGTCCAGCTTCATATTGCATGAAGACCATGATGACAACCACAAAACTTAACCATAATTTCAACAACTTGCATCTTTATAAACCCTGTGTTATAACTTAATTGATGACTTCTTGCGAGGAATACATGATAATAGGATCAGGTCCTTAAATATATTGAATCAACTGTGACATGTTAATGCCATATGTTGGGGATGCAGGAATGTTGCTATCAAGAACTGGAAAATATATAAACCTTTTATAATAGGGAAATTGAAATAAATCACAAGTGCTTATCAAACAGTTTGGAAATCTGTCATGTTGCTTTCATTGTAAGAAAAGATGAAGATAATTGGCTGATGAAGACAAATCTGTTGTGTCCTTGATTGAATTGAATATATTCCATGACTTGAAACTTTAAGAGCACCTTTAAAAGTTGTCTCAATAAGTTGTTAGTTGTTCATGATTACTATTATGCTACAATAAGCAGGGATGTAGAATTTTTTTTCAATGCCTTAGCCCCAAATATTTCCTTCTAGGTGAAATATTCAAAATAAAGTTTTAAATCCATGAAGAAACTAGTTTGAAAACCTGTTCAGAAAGCAAAGCTTACATGTGTCTATATATATCATGAACAAACATTTTCTAAAAATTACTCATTTACTGAAAATTGAAGAAAAGATTTGAAAATGTCCAGATTTTTAGCTCCAGCAGGTAGAATATGCTATAAACAGACATGACTGCCTCTGTTTTAGCTGGCTTATGTTTGACTTTTGATGAACTTAGCTCTTCACCAAGATTTTTTTATCAACTGAAATGTATTGACTTAATGACCAGTGACTGCTGATTAGGTTAGTATTCTGAGTTCTGAGTAATTTTCTTTTGAATGTATAGAAACCTCGTACTTTTGCCAGGCAGGAAGGACATTGTATGTTTGATATCAATAGTAAAACTTATATACGCTTTAGATGTTATGATTAGAAATTCTTTTTTTGTCTGCTGGGGAAAACATTGTCTGCAGAAAGTCACAAAACTTCGGGCTAGTTGGCCTGTTATTTCCATTAGCTCCAGCTAATCAATTTGTAGTAGTCCGCATCAGGCTATTGAATTTTTACAACCCTGATATCCCCATGAACCCAATCTTTAATCTTTCAAGGTTTATTTCAGAACATTCATTGTTGGTTTGTAATTGTACAGAAAAATTAAGATGTGGATGGGCTTATTAGTAATCATGGCCTAATAATTCCAGTAAAATCATAGTTAATTCTATGTTTTGCTGCATTTGTTCATGGAAACGTTTTTTTAATTTTTTACAGTCCTAGGGAAGAACCAGTATAATACTTTAGGCTGGACCAGGATGTTCAAGTTGGTTGGAGTCCTGCAGACTTTCTTGCGCCAAATGATGCAATTAATGATTATTTATTTTGATTCCTCACTGACAACATTCCTAAATATTTGCCTTCTTAAGTTGTTTATGTTTTCAGAAATACATCATTTTAACTTCCAGGAAATATATTAGATATTAGGTTTCCATGATAAAAAAATATATGTTACTGAATCAGTAGAAAATGGGCTTTTAAATTTTGAGAATTCATGGAAATTAATTGCTTTACATAAGAAGCTCAGAGATTTGATGTTATACCCAGATTTTCATCATTCTTCTTCTGCTTTGTGCTATGAAGTTTTCTGACACTTTTTCTCTCAAACTGCAAGTTGGATCTTTACCAAAATTCAAGGGATTAATACATAGGAAAGCAAGTTCCAATTTCTGACTTGGCAAAATAGTCATCATTTCCAGGCTGCTGATTTTTCACCTGTAACTTTTGTTCTATTTGGCACATCAAAATGAGAATTGATGGAAAGTATAACTGGAGCACACTCTCAGAGAGTGTATAAAAAATAGAAACGTTGTCACCAAAATAGCTGCCAAATGGAGCAAATAGAGGCTTCTAATAGAGAGAAATTATGATGTTTACTGATTTTTAGCTCACCTAGTTCGAACAACTGATGAGCTCATGCTCTACCATGGCCATCAGGCATCCATCAACTTTCTAAGGAAAATCTCTTGTATTCATGAACGATTAAACAGATTTTGACCAAATTTGGTCTGATGCATCCTTTGGGGAAGATGAACCAAATTTTTATTAGAATTGGCCCAGGGTATTAGGAGCAGGACCCAAAAAAGGAAATTTTGTAAGTTCTTCAGTAGGAATGAATGGATACTGCACAAATTTAGTCTGAAGCACTCTTGGTTTCTTTAAAATCCTATTTCTCCTATAGGAAATTATGGATATTTCATTAATTTTGTCTGAAGCATTCTTAGGTGAAGGGAATTCAATGAAGTATAGACGGTAGGTCTAAGCTACTTCGGAAAATCCTACTTCTATGGATATTGCCGTAATATGTTTGAAAGCATTCATCATGGGTGAAGGGGGATCAGTCGTGTATAAATGTTAGGCCTTGGCTCCCTCCATAGAAAAGGTCAGGGTTCAATAGGGTAGATAGTTGAAATATCTAAAATCCTATTCCTCCTGTAGGAATAAATGGTTATTGTCCAAATTTGGTCTGAAGCATTCATGAGTGAAGGAAAATCAATCAATTAAAGACGAAAGATCTCAGCCCGCAAGAGTGGAAGGGCAGGGCCCAATAGGGGAAATAAAGTAAATTCTTAAAAACCCTACTCCTCCTAGCAGGAATTAATGGGTATTGCCCAAATTTGGTCTGAATCATTCAGCATTGGTGAAGGGGAAGCATTCATGTTATATATATTAAAAAATGCAAACCACTTTGGGAGGAGAGACCTGGCCAAATGGGGATTTAGATACAAGTGTCTGAAATCTTTTTCTTTTAGTTTAAGTTTATCAATAACAGCAAACTGAACCATGGTAGCGATACAGGCCCTATGGGCCTCTTGCTTTATGTGTACCTAAGAGTTCTCTGCTAGTGTGATGTTTATGGATTAAATTTTTTTGTAAGTGTATGCTAGAGTTCTGCAGACCTTCTTTGCCTAATGTTGAAGCACTTTTATTGGCATATATGACAGAAGGGGTAGTTTGGTGGACTTATATAGAGGGCCCTGTTACAATTGATACTTGTTTACTGTGAAATGTTGGCAGTGAAAAGGTTTTTTTGAAATATTTGTCAATATTTACAATATATCAAATACAGTATATTCAACTTCAGTGAAAATCCATCTCTTATGGAACATGACCTATCAAATGTTTGATAAAGATTGACGAAAGACAATCCTAATAATATTCTTTTAAGACAAAAATTTCAACTTTTCTGAATAAATATATCACTTCTGACTGAAATTTATTGTTTGCATTTTGTCATTAGAATACAATAAAAATGATTTATGTTACGTTGTACAACAGGATGAGAATATTAATTTTTCGGTATGGGACAGAAATTGAAGATACATTTTGTATGGGCCAGAAATTCACTGTTGTGTGGGGTGGGTCAGAAATTCAATATTTTGTGGTATGGGATGGAAATTGAAGAAATGTGTTTTGTAAAGGACAGAAATGCTGTGTTGTGTGGTGTGGGTCAGAAATTCAATATTGTGGTATGGGATGGAAATTGAAGAAATGCTGTGTTGTGTGGGGTGGGTCAGTCAATGTTTTGGGGTATGGGATGGAAATTTAAAGTTTTGTGGCTGTATCACTGTCAATTCTTGATATGTTGTATGACATTAACTTTTATTTTGAGTAATGAAATGTGGGAACATTAAACCAAAATGATTATTTTTGAGAAAAAGAAAACTCGAAGTTCTGGATGTCCAAACATTTTATTAATTTTCTGGTTCTTGTGATTGTTTCTGTTTTACATTTATCTTTTTAAAAACAGTTATATTGAAAAACATATATTATTCACACCCTGGAAAGTTATCCTTGTATAACCATGTACAATTTTGAACTTTTATTTTGTAATGAATAGCTAGGAGCTATTGTACTGATAATATTGGTAATGATTTTGTGCAATTCATTCTTGATTGCATTTGGAGCTCTCATTTGATCTAAAGTTATAACTAGCATTTAGTATAAAATCTCCATCTACATTTAGAATTGTACAGTGTATATGTATCCTATTTACTTATGTTAAGTGATATTTCCCATGAATGGATAAGCATTTATATTACTCTATTGTTTGTTACGGGTTTCAGGCATTACAAACTATTTGAATCAAGAGTAAAACTGGTTTTTTGTGTGTGGTAATAAACGTGAACAATTTTTCAGGAATTTAATAAAACATAACTGGACAAAAAACATATATCAAAAATATTTTTATTGGGTTCGGTTTAAAAGAAATAAATCTGTTTTAAGATGTTAGAAATCCAAAATCTGGGAGTGAAAAATATAGATGACCTACTTGTTTATTGTGTATGAAAGTGTTGTAATTAAACAGCTCTGTTGTACTAGTCAATGGTACGAAATAGTTCATCCTATTAAGATAAAATATGCACACTGTGCTTTGCAATATTTTCGTATTTTATGTTTGATATTATGTTTTACTTAATTAAATCAATTTGTTATTACAAACTCGTTAATATTTGCATTTTGCCAAGCTTATTAAAAGAAAAGAAAAATACCCAGAATTAAATGGGTTTTTTTTCTGTAGTTATTTGCTATTCCTTTTCAGTGTTATATATTGTACCTTATTTGTTTGAATATAGATCGATACATACTGAGGACAAAAAATGCTGTTTTGAAAGGGTATACAATGTATACAATAGGTTCTAATGACCCTGGTTGAAAAATAAGAAAAACTGAAATTCTATTTCTTGTCCAAACAGGGAAGAAGCAAATTCGAAATAGGACAATGACATACACTCCAAAAGGATGTCTTTAGTGTTGTCGAGAACCCTATCAAACATCAATATAAAGTATAAATCAAAGAAAAATAGACATTGTATCGTGTTAGGTAAACAAAAACAAGTCTGTAAACGACGGTGGACAAAACGGAAATGAAATATCATTTCCATTGCCAGTGTTCGACAGAATTACATGCAGTATAAAAAGAGAAAATGCTGTCACCATGTCAATAAAATGGATAAACGGCTGGTGATCATAAGGTCAAATAGACACCACAGGTACCAGCCTCGTTCGTTAATATACTGGTACTCCTCAAGATGTGTTATTCCATTGGCCTATCGGAGCTACTCAATCCATGTGTCGGATGAGTGTTTAACCGCAGGTACCAACCTCGTCTATTCAATGAAAACTATTCATTTGTCAGTTCAGACCTTTTCCAAGCGGACGGTTTAGTGAAAATCGTAAGATTTCGAAATTCAGTAGGCTGAGACTGATTCCTGTGCGCTAACCATAAAAAAGACCAGGAGAATAGGCCAACGGGCCCGAATCGTTTATCTGTTCTGCATCAGATGAAGTCAATTTCTGAAAGCCCACTTGCCAAGCATATTGCTATACCATAACTCTAAGCCGATTGGTTATTGAGAAGACGTTTCAACTTTAAAACATTGAAAGTGCATTTCATTTGAACCAGTCAGCCCTTCAAGTCTGTATGCTACTGGCCCAATATCGTAATCTTTGGCCTCTTAGTTTTTTTAGAAGTCTGCTATGGGTATTATATCACAACTGACCTGTGTGACCTTGAAAATAGGTAATTTATTAGTGCATACTTTGTAGTTTTTTCTCACAGCTTGATACTAGCCCAATATCAGTTCCCTGGGCTTTATGGTTATTGGGAAGGCGTTGTATAACTAATTCAAGGAATCCTATGACCTAAAGGAACCGGTTAAGGTTATTCATTAGAGCAAACGCGGCAGCGCGTTGTCCTAGCATGCTGGAGGCCGGGTATCAGTACGATTTCCTGTAACCAATATCAAAGAAGAAGAAATAAACGAAGGAAAAAATAAAGTGATCGAGGTTCAGGTTGACAGCATCATCGTCAAGTTTTAAAGCAGGGACTTTTGGCATACCTTTGGGAACTAACTGTGCCCCTGTTGGCTGACTTGTTTTCATACCAGACTGAATTTTTCGAAGAGATTATCAAAAAAGGCTACAGAGACCTTGCAAAGTTGTTTAAGTCACAGATATATACCCCTGCATCTCCAACCTATAGTGTTTACATGTCGCTGTTGATTCGATATTCAAGGGCCTGTTCCCATTATCACGATTTTCTTGAAAGGGACCGTCGACTCGCTGACATGCTCGTAACAGGGTTTGAAAAAATGCAATTTTATGAACATTATGGGGAAGTTTTATGGACGTCATAGTGAACTTGCTGAGAAATATTCTGTTTCTTTGTGGGATATGAAGATGGGCGTGTTTGATGCTCATTAATTTGCCTGTTGCTTCCGTTGTTGTATACCTTGTTCTTATTAGGGAACATGACATTTATTAGCCCACCATCTAATAGATGGTGGGTTATTCAAATCGCCCTGCGTCCGTGGTCCGTCGTCCGTCCGTAAACAATTCTTGTTACCGCTGTTTCTGGAAAAGTACTGGATGGATCTTTCTCAAATTTCATATGCAGTTTCCCCTTGGTCCCTAGTTGTGCATTGTACCTTTTTTGGACTGATTCGAATTCAAGATGGCAGACAGGTGGCCATCTTGGATTTTGAATGTAAAAGTTTGTTACTGCTATTTCTTGGAAAGTACTGAATGGATCTTTCTCAAATTTCATATGCAGGTTCCCTTTGGTTCCAAGTTGTGCATTATACCTTTTTGGACTGATCCGAAATCAAGATGGCTGACAGGCAGCCATCTTGGATTTTGAGAGTAAAATCTTGTTACTGCAATATCTGAGGAAGTACTGGATGGATCCTTCTGATATTTCATAGATATTGGTTTCCCTTGTTCCCTAGTTGTGCATTGTACCTTTTTTGGACTGATTTGAAATCAAGATGGCCCACAGGCAGCCATCTTGTATGTCGACAGTAATACAGCACAAGCATATTGTCCATTATCCACCTGTAACTGACTGCTATCTAATGATACTTTGGGATCTTTTTCAAATGGTATTTGCTAATAGGTGCTTAATAAAAATATCTTGTGCCATCATTGAGTACATTCAATGAAGACCAGTTCATGAACATTTACAACACCTGTAACAAACAAACAAAAAATAAACAAATCTTCAAGAACTGGAAATGGTACCTCCCGGACATCGTGGAATTGTAACTACCGGTAAGGAGATAAGAGTTAATTGCAGTATTGCATTGTCACAAGGAACATTCATCACAAAATCGGAAGATTATAATTTTAAAATCATAGTAAAAACAAACATGTTTCAGAATAGCAATTATTTATAGGCGTACAATCAGTGCTCTTTTGTAGTGTTGATTGGAACATTTAACTATAAAATATCACAGTTCATCATCCTTTGAAGTGTGTGTCGGGATATAGAATCACGAAATATCACAGTTCATCATCCGCTGTAGTGTGTGTCGGGATATAGAATCACGTAATATCACAGTTCACCATCCGCTGTAGTGTGTGTCGGGATATAGAATCACGTAATATCACAGTTCATCATCCGCTGTAGTGTGTGTCGGGATATAGAATCACGTAATATCACAGTTCAACATCCTCTGTAATGTGTGTCGGGATATAGAATCACGTAATATCACATTTCACCATCCGCTGTAGTGTGTGTCGGGATATAGAATCACGTAACATCACAGTTCACCATCCTCTGTAGTGTGTGTCGGGATATAGAATCACGTAATATCACAGTTCATCATCCTCTGTAATGTGTGTCGGGATATAGAATCACGTAATATCACAGTTCATCATCCGCTGTAGTGTGTGTCGGGATATAGAATCACGTAATATCACAGTTCACCATCCGCTGTAGTGTGTGTCGGGATATAGAATCACGTAATATCACAGTTCACCATCCTCTGTAGTGTGTGTCGGGATATAGAATCACGTAACATCACAGTTCACCATCCTCTGTAGTGTGTGTCGGGATATAGAATCGCGTAACATCACAGTTCACCATCCTCTGTAGTGTGTGTCGGGATATAGAATCGCGTAATATCACAGTTCACCATCCGCTGTAGTGTGTGTCGGGATATAGAATCACGTAATATCACAGTTCATCATCCGCTGTAGTGTGTGTCGGGATATAGAATCACGTAATATCACAGTTCATCATCCTCTGTAATGTGTGTCGGGATATAGAATCACGTAATATCACAGTTCACCATCCTCTGTAATGTGTGTCGGGATATAGAATCACGTAATATCACAGTTCATCATCCTCTGTAATGTGTGTCGGGATATAGAATCACGTAATATCACAGTTCATCATCCTCCTGTGTAGTGAGTATCGGGACAGAGAATTATGTAAGATAACAATTTGTCCATTTTTAATATAATGTGTTTAGGGCCATATAACGACGTAATATCACAATCCTCTTATGAAGTGTGTGTAACGTAATGAAATATACATATATTCACGTGTGTACAATCAGATTTCGTTATTTTTTTCCAAGTGTCCCTATATTAACCAGTATAAACACAGATCTTTTTCCTTGGATTTGTTTTTGTACATAAAACATCACAGCAGAATGACCCATCATAGCTCGTCGTCTTTCACCAAGTGTGTTGGAACCACATCTAATAAGCATTGTCCCATGTGTGCCAGTGAAACTATAAAATAGAGTATGTTAATATTTTCCAAGAAAATGCATACCTAGACATTAAAAAGTAGATACCACTGATAACCGCAACTGCACGGATAATATCAACCTCGATGCACCCTTGGAACATGTCATGGCAAAAGTGAAGACACAAGCGAAGTAATTTGAGTGGTTCCAGGAGCAAAGAAAAAGACCAATCACAAGCTGATACGATATTTTTGAGCGACAACCAACTTCGAAGCCAATAAATTCGTTTCGTTTGATGTACATGAAATGACCAAACTAGTCCGTTCGTCTTGTTGTCAAGGTGTCGCACACGGAACATTGAAATTTGCCATGACATGTTCCAGGGATGCAGAAACCGAAATTGATTGTTACTCCTTGAGTATCGAAGATGGGAAAATACATACATACGTACAATGTTTATAACCAAACTATGGAATATAACTTATAATATTTAGAATAACTAATGTAACCATTGAGATAATTTGATGACATTTGCTATAGGAATGAAAAACACAGGTTTGCAAAAAAGAAATGCAGTATATTTCCTTGCTAAAATCTATATAAACTAAAATTGCATTATCTCATGATATTTCATGTAGATTCTCATTCGATGATAACTAAAAGATATTGTTCTCTCAGTGTATGCGAGTGGAGTACATAAATTATGTATGTCTTGAGTACGTATGTATTCTGAATGATTCAAATATTATTGGACAGGTTAGGTAATGGAACTTCCAAGCCTATGTAAATACAACTGTATCAAAGATCTATACTAAATATTAAACTACAGCAGTTATCCGTATACCCTACCCAGAATAAAGGCATATCAAGATTACATATGCTCGATATAATGTATGTGGTATTTACCAAATTGTTCTTTAGATGTATAAACTTACCCATGCCAGGCATCCGAACTTTGAAGTGTACCATCGGGACATAAACAACTGCTCCAAGTCCCAATATTGCTAAAGCGTACAGGAATTCTACCTTTGGGTCCTGTATAAATGGTGTTACTACCAGATACACGCAGATCAATAACACCAGTACTGGTATTACAAGGGGCACCTGTAACATAAAGTCACTACACTGTAGCATAATATCCATATACTGTAACACAATATCACTAACCTGTAACTTAATATCACTAACATGTAACATAACATCACTAATTTGTACTATAATATCACTAATCTATTACATAATATCAATAACATGACTAACCTGTAACACAATATCACTAACCTATAACATAATATCACTAACATGTAACATAACATCACTAACCTGTTATACAATATCACTAATCTATTACACAATATAACTTATCTGGAACACAATAATACAAAATAACGACAATGAGAACATTAACAGGAAAAGGTTACCTTAATAACTCTCTTTGTATCCTTCATTTTCCACCTGAGTATAATGACAGCTATCATTGCCATTCCATAGAACAACCACCCAATGAAGTTAAGGAGGTTCATGAGACCCGATATCTCTGCAGGGATCATATATATAAGGCTTAACGTCGTCTGATAAAGGAAAGAAAATATAAAATATTCGCCTCAGAAATATAGCAAATATGCAGTGAAAATATGCTAGATTTATACTGTAGAAGTTCTTAATTTAGCGCAATCAAATTTTAGCTCATCATTATATTCTTTTTGGCAAATTAGCGCAATAGGAAAATGCGCATCCACAGTAATTGTACATAGACAATATACTGGAACTCATATTTGAGTGCAGTACTTTCAGCGCTAAAATAAGATTACCATTAAAATCTGTACCTTTACAAGTTTACAATATATAACGTCATCCAAACTATTGTACGATATCGTGATAAGTTAAACGTTTTCAAGTGTGCATATGGATATTCTTCCGTGATTTTCTTAGTTTGTGTGGGTGTTTGTGTAGGTGTTTGTGTGTGTATGTGTGTGTATTGAATATTGCTATGGTATTGATTGTTTGCCCTCTCTCCATAGCAAATGAATTAATGAACCTATGTTATAACTTACGAGTAACAGAACAGACGGCAATGGAATCAGACTGTGAACGTGTATATAAGAACAAAGTTCTGGCATGTGTCCTTCTCTGGCAGCCTGGAACAACAACCTGCTCAAAGAGTTCACAAGGAAGTATGTAAATAAATACAAAAACATGTTTGTTGTTAGCATTATTATAATATGACCGATCCTATTGCAAATCAGGATTTTCAGTAAAGTTAGTTAATGTGCTTGACATACAAGACAACATTTTTATTTTCATAATTCAGCACGAGGTTAACATAACAGTTTGTTCACAATAAATGGAACATATCTGCTATGGGATACCGTTTTACTATGAGGTGATATCACGATAACTGGTATGTGATATTATCGAAACGTATGAATTTGTGAAAACTCAAAATGATATAGTGATGTCATCTATTTATTATGTCGATTGGTGCACAAAAGTCACACAAATGAGCAGTGCCATTTAAACCAAGAGTTAGATATAGGAGAGCCAAACAATGAATTAAACTATGTCATACAGCTGCTTCGTACTTCTAGGACTCGTCAGTGATGCTTCATCACACCGCTGCTTTATCCTTCAAGAGCTCGTCAATGATGCTGCATCCTACAACTGTTTCGCCCTTCTAAGACCTTTCAATTATGCTACATCATACAGCTGTTTCGTCCTTCAAGGATTCGTCAACGGTGCTACATCAATCAGTTGTTTCGTCATTCTAGGACTCGTCAATGATTCTACGTCAAACAGATGTTTCGTAATTCTAGGATCCATCAGTGTTGCTACATTATTTATCTGTTTCGTAATTCTAGGGCTCGACAGTTATGATGCACCATGCAACTGTTTCACCCTTCTAGGACTAGTCAATGATGCTAAGAGCCTAAATATCACATATACAGTATGAATGGACTATATCACCATAGAGTTATCGATCAGGTGATATCATTAAAAAAAATATCACGTTATAGTAATATCACTAGTTCGATTGGTAATATCATCTACAACTGAATTGGTGATTTCACCGAATCGTTTTATTGATGTCAAATAAAATATATATAAAGTAAAATGGTATCCTATCGGAGATATGTTATCTTCATTGTGGACACACTTTTATATTTACATTGAACTAAAAATCTTACTAAAGGCATTGCCATGTAATGTCATTACACACAAGAGGGTTTCTTCTTTTTAGATTTGTTTAGATTTGTTTTTTGTGGAACCTTTTACAAGTAAATATTGAGTTTTCATTATATATTATATGCATTATATATTGATATAACACAAACACACACGTTGCCTGATCAAATAATGTTATTTTTTTTGTCATATGATGTCTTTATAAATACATAATCTGCATTTTAAGAACCCGCTTATTTGACTGCTTCTCGGAGTCTAATGTCGATATAATCGAGTAACGCAAATGTCTGTCAAAATCATGCTATTAATTAATAGTGGAGATTACGACGAAATAGGATCACCCATTCGCTGGCATATGAATAGAATAAAATATTTACAAAAATATGACATTTCCGACACCTAGTGAAATTCTGTTTTATGATCCACTGTCATTGCAGTATTGCCAGTTCTCTCATGTCTGACAGATGCACTCGATGTTACATAATCGAAAGTTAACGAAAGTTGTTCATTCCAACATGTTATTTCATAATAGCAATTAACAACCACTATAACAATTATGTAGAGATATTTACTTTTTTAACTACCTGCTCTATGAACTGTATACATATTTTCTAACAGAATCGGTATAATACATACTATACAGAATGACAGAGCTGAGCATGTCTTATAGGGAGTTGTTTGGGATAAATGTGTATAGTATGTTATTTAAGGCCAGTCATTTACAGATGGACTAATATAGTTATATCGCACCAACAACCGTATTTTGGTCACATTTATATTAACTGTACTTGGATCACGTTATAAATTGTTTTTGATCAATAAGGAAATAAACGAACAAATGTACTCTATTTGACGAGTAAGCCTTTCCAGATAACCTACCTTGAACTGGTAAAATTAGATCCATTGCTTGAACCATAAACTGAACAGATAACAACAATTGGTATGAGGATCACAGCGGGACCAATCACTTGTTCAGCCCATGTCTGAAAAAATCAAAAATGCAATGTGGCCGTCTCAGTATAATGCTTTACTGATAAGCAATATTGCGAGTTTCACATTAGTTTTCGGCTATCACCATTGCTATGTTATAAGACTCTAATTTCTGATTTCCGAATTCTAATAATTGCTGATAAATGGCATGCAATCCATAACTACTAAGATAGTGACTCTCTCTTACAAACGAACACTGATGATAATTACTTCCAATAATAGCACAAACTTGCTACCTACGACGGTCGTAACTTTATCGCAATCATTGTCTATGATGAGAGAAGCTAGCCTTTCAACACTTCCTAATGACAATGCATTTACCTTCTCCAATGGCCTTGATGCGAAACTGTTGATGACACAAGATCTAACTATGCCATAAAGATCCTAATGTCATTTATTCTACTTTACCAATAAACCATCACAAACATTTACCTACAGTGATTTCAAATTCTGCATTACATACAAACTTTGATAACTTAAGTCCTTTCTTGAATACAAACCCTAAAGACGCCATTTCATGTTAATCAACAAACCTTTATGGCAATATTTCTTTCTTATCTGCTACCTATGATAGCAATACCGTTCATCACACATGTATTCTGACGACGTTAACTCTTTCTTTATTTCCATTCCTATGACGTTAACTCTTCCTCATCCGCAGTCTCCGATGACACAAACGCTGCATTTACCCCGAGAACAGTAACTCTAACTTAATTATATTCTCTGGTGACAGTAACCATGGATCCTAATAAAAACAACTCTATGTCCGCATTCCCCGATGTCACAAACGCTTACCTACTGACTCTGCATTATATTTTTGCTCTGATAATACCTTAGATATATTCTCTGATAACAATAACTATACCTTAGATATATTGTCCGATGACAATAACTATACCTTAGATATATTGTCCGATGACAATAACTATACCTTAGATATATTCTCTGATAACAATAACTATACCTTAGATATATTCTCTGATAACAATAACTGTACCTTAGATATATTGTCCGATGACAATAACTATACCTTAGATATATTCTCTGATAACAATAACTATACCTTAGATATATTCTCTGATAACAATAACTATACCTTAGATATATTGTCCGATGACAATAACTATACCTTAGATATATTCTCTGATAACAATAACTGTACCTTAGATATATTGTCCGATGACAATAACTATACCTTAGATATATTCTCTGATAACAATAACTATACCTTAGGTGTATTCTCTGATAACAATAACTATACCTTAGATATATTCTCTGATATCAATAACTATACCTTAGATATATTGTCCGATGACAATAACTATACCTTAGATATATTCTCTGATAACAATAACTATACCTTAGATATATTCTCTGATAACAATAACTATACCTTAGATATATTGTCCGATGACAATAACTATACCTTAGATATATTCTCTGATAACAATAACTATACCTTAGATATATTCTCTGATAACAATAACTATACCTTAGATATATTCTCTGATAACAATAACTATACCTTAGTATATTCTCTGATAACAATAACTATACCTTAGATATATTCTCTGATAACAATAACTATACCTTAGATATATTCTCTGATAACAATAACTATACCTTAGATATATTCTCTGATAACAATAACTATACCTTAGATATATTCTCTGATAACAATAACTATACCTTAGATATATTCTCTGATAACAATAACTATACCTTAGATATATTGTCCGATGACAATAACTATACCTTAGATATATTGTCCGATGACAATAACTATATCTATACCTTCTCTGATAACAATAACTATACCTTAGATATATTCTATATTGTCTGATAACAATAACTATACCTTAGATATATTCTATACTGATAACAATAACTATACCTTAGATATATTGTCCGATGACAATAACTATACCTTAGATATATTCTCTGATAACAATAACTATACCTTAGATATATTCTCTGATATCAATAACTATACCTTAGATATATTCTCTGATAACAATAACTATACCTTAGTTGTATTCTCTGGTGACAGTATCTATACCTTAGATATATTCTCTGATAACAATAACTATACCTTAGATATATTCTCTGATAACAATAACTATACCTTAGATATATTCTCTGATAACAATAACTATACCTTAGATATATTCTCTGATAACAATAACTATACCTTAGATATATTCTCTGATAACAATAACTATACCTTAGATATATTGTCCGATGACAATAACTATACCTTAGATATATTCTCTGATAACAATAACTATACCTTAGATATATTCTCTGATAACAATAACTATACCTTAGATATATTCTCTGATAACAATAACTATACCTTAGATATATTCTCTGATAACAATAACTATACCTTAGATATATTGTCCGATGACAATAACTATACCTTAGATATATTCTCTGATATCAATAACTATACCTTAGATATATTGTCCGATGACAATAACTATACCTTAGATATATTCTCTGATAACAATAACTATACCTTAGTTGTATTCTCTGATAACAATAACTATACCTTAGATATATTCTCTGATAACAATAACTATACCTTAGATATATTGTCCGATGACAATAACTATACCTTAGATATATTCTCTGATATCAATAACTATACCTTAGATATATTGTCCGATGACAATAACTATACCTTAGATATATTCTCTGATATCAATAACTATACCTTAGATATATTGTCCGATGACAATAACTATACCTTAGATATATTCTCTGATAACAATAACTATACCTTAGATATATTGTCCGATGACAATAACTATACCTTAGATATATACTCTGATAACAATAACTATACCTTAGATATATTCTCTGATAACAATAACTATACCTTAGATATATTGTCCGATGACAATAACTATACCTTAGATATATTCTCTGGTAACAGTATCTATACCTTAGATATATTCTCTGATAACAATAACTATACCTTAGATATATTCTCTGATAACAATAACTATACCTTAGATATATTGTCCGATGACAATAACTATACCTTAGTTGTATTCTCTGGTAACAGTATCTATACCTTAGATATATTCTCTGATAACAATAACTATACCTTAGATATATTGTCCGATGACAATAACTATACCTTAGTTGTATTCTCTGATAACAGTATCTATACCTTAGATATATTCTCTAATGACAATAACTATACCTTACATATATTATCTGATGACATTAAATATACTTCAGATAAATTCTCCGATGATGGTAACTATACCTTATATATATTCTCTGGTGACAGTATCTCTACCATAGGTATATTCTCCGATGTCGGTAACTCTCTTTCGTCCACAGTATCCGATATCTCATACTGACCCTGACGACAGTAACTCAACTTTAACTTCACTCGCTAATGACAGTAACTCAACTTTAACTTCACTCGCTAATGACAGTAACTATACTTTAACTTCACTCGCTAATGACAGTAACTCAACTTTAACTTCACTCGATAATGACATCAACTATACTTTAACTTCACTCGATAATGACAGTAACTATACTTTAACTTCACTCGCTAATGACAGTAACTATACTTTAACTTCACTCGCTAATGACAGTAACTTAACTTCACTCGCTAATGACAGTAACTCAACTTTAACTTCACTCGCTAATGACAGTAACTCAACTTTAACTTCACTCGCTAATGACAGTATCTCAACTTTAACTTCACTCGCTAATGGCAGTAACTATACTTTAACTTCACTCGCTAATGGCAGTAACTATATTTTAACAACACTCGTTGATGGCAGTAAATCTAAATTAGATATATTCTCTGATGGCAATTACTATACTTAAGATCATTTCACAGAATTGCGATCGTGTCAAAAAGGAGTTGCGTCCCTTGCTTCGCGGCAAGCGCGCTGTTTCGCGCCGAAAAATTCAAGAGAATGTAACATGGCGGCGATTGAGGCGAATGAGGAAATTGTAGGAAATAGACGACCAAGAAGGACATCCTCGATTATGAAGCAGGGAGAGGTGTTTTCATCATATGCGTAAGCAGTCACATTTTCTTACTTGTACCTAAATTCTCGCCATTTAACTTCGAAATTTTCTATAACGTAATGAACCGAAGCGGTTGCCGGTGTACGCACCGGTCCTTTCAGCTTGTTCAAGAAGTTAAAAAATACGCATTTGAAATTGATTGTTTGTAACCCTCTTTGTGATTGGATGATTGAAGAGGATTCCCTTGCTATTTCAATCAGCGTTTTTGGCTGATTGGTTGAAATCCAACTGCAATAGACTATTTTAAGCATTGGCGGTAGGGGAACTTCTTTGGTATCTCCCTTAGAATAAGGTCACACTTGTGATATTCAGCTGTTTAAATACGGCATTTATCTGTATCTATTCTCATGATATAACATAGTCACAAACCAAGCGAATTAGCATATACAATAAATGTTGAATGCGTAATTATCAAATACGTGATGAAAAATTGTCAAAAACTTCCAGAGAAATGCCCGAATCGGTGTCCAGATTGTAAACTAAGGGCACTTAACTTCTTTTATATGTATTCTCATATAACAGTAACTCTACGTTAGATACATTCTCTGATGGCAGTAACTATATCTTAAATATATTCTCTGATGACATTAACTCTACTTTAACTATGATCGCGGATGACAGTAACTATACTTTAATTATACTCACTGATGACAGAAACTGTACCTTAAGTATCTTCTCTAATGACAATAAAATACATAAACCACGGATTCTGTTAAAACTAAAAGTATATCATTTACAGTCTCCGATATCACAAACGCTTCATCACATACTGACATACTGATGATTCTAACTCTTCTTTAACTACGTTTGCTGATGACACTAACTCTACTTTAGCTGTACTTACCACGCCCACGGCCAAGGATGACAGAAATTCGGATTTGGTAAGAACAGATAGGTACGACACGTTGACTAAAAGATAAACAGCGGTGACCAACAACACTGATATCACAATGCCCAGAGGAAGATTCCTGTAAACAATTTGATTTTGTTAGACGCTTTATATTTAAATGAATATTCCGACCAAACAAGCCCGGCTGTTAGTATATATATAATGCTTTAAGCATTATGAAGATTCAGGAATGAAAGCGCTAATGCTTAATTCGACGTGTTGTTTTAAGTTATTCTAATATTTTTTCACAGGACACTGGGAATTCAACTTTTATATTTGAATATATGCTAAGCTTGTAAATTTTATCTTGGTGTAAACCATGTGATATAGAACAACGATCGATTGATACCATCTGTTTATGAGATAAAAGTATTTTTCTATATAAATTCATATCTTAAGTCGACATTTATTTATAAAAAAAAAATTATACTTCAGTTACTCATTAAGTGAATGTTATGTAACAGTTTTGTTGCTGTTAGTATATTTGTTAGTATAGTATTCCAGAGCAATATGTATGTGATAAAGTTATCTTCATTTATTTTATGTTTTTTATTATCAAGATTCCAAAGCAAACACAGTTCCTAATTGCACATACTAGGCTTGTGACACTCATTAAACACATTTTTGACTGTTATTAGGTTAAAGCGTAATATTCTATAATAGTTTTTTATAAGGTTCGCATTTACTTTTTAATTGAGAATCAATTCACAAAATATATTTATGAAACAAAAACTCATTTGAGATCCTATGTATATGTAAAGATTGTAAACATAAAAGAAATATAGATTTAATGAATAATTTCAACAGTTGTACATTAATTACTAGTGCTATAAAACTTACCTTTTAGGGTTCTTTATTTCTTCTGTAACAGAATTAAGCCCTCCCCTATGAACAGAACATATCCGAATATATTCTCCAAGAAAAAATATATACATCTTACTGATATAAAATTTATGTTTAGATAGATAATGAAGGTAGTAAGTGAGATTTTTACCACGATTTCACATATCTAGTTTGTGTCAGTATAAGTAACGGAGATTGTTGGGTGGTCAGCTAAAATTATCCTTCATTCAAATTTTAATCAATAAGAACTCTGGCTAAAATATACACACATACTTGAATGTTTGAAAAATAAACTATACTCAATGTACCAAATACGTAGTAGTTTACCCCTCATTTTTAGTATGAACATACACATTTAACGTTGTTACTCTAAACTAACGAAAATCATTGAATTACGGTTTAGTATAATTTCCACTTTTAAGAATAGACACATGTACGGAGCGTTCTCAAAATCATTATCCAATGTCTGAAAACTTGGCTGAATTGTGGTTTACTTCACCTACCACTTTTTATTTGCAAATTTAAAAGAAGTTTCGGTAGAGTGTTACTTCAAATTAAAAACTTGTACAAGATATAAATGTGCTGGCCACCCATGTGTTTTCCGTACAGTCCTTTGTTACTAATGCTGTAGCCTGGAGTGGCATAACCTACCTCTGACATTCACCACCTTCAGTAATTAATCCCCTGTGTAAATATATTACTTACCATCCATCATAAGCCCATAGGCCACTATACACAGCCAGTGCAAAGTCCTGAACGTTATTTGTTGTACCGTCAAATCCAGTTACCAGGCTCCCAAATCTTCCTATAATTTATAATAAATGTGAGACATACATGTAGTTTCAAACGATTTTCCTTTCTGTCGCACGACCTTCAGTGATGTAGTCTACAAACATGTACACTTGTTACCAGATTAGAGTATGGTTTATGTTCATGTTTGGAGAAAAGCCAAATGTCATTATTTCTGCATGTGGTAGGTACCACTAGCTTTGGAGAGTAAAATAAATATCATTTACGAAAGCCACGAAATTCCGCTTATTAATATGGAAAACTAACAATTTAAGAAATACATAAATATATTACTCACTTCAAATTACAACATGATGCCCAATGGGCCTGCAGCGCTCACCTGGTATACATCAGTCAAATATCATGCGACTCGACCTTTTAGTTCTTGAGAATTGACCACTGTGACCTCGAACATAGGTCAAGGTAATTTATTTTCGCAAACTTTGTTGGGCTTTATCTTAGGAAGATACCAGCCAAATATCAAAACACTTGGTCTATTCGTTATTAACAAGAAGTTGTTTAAAGGCATAAGCTCACTTGGCCCTTTGGGCCAGGTGATCTGAATAAGAATAAATAGGTTTCCCATCTTCAAAGAAAGATAAAACTCCAAATAAAAATCACATTATTACAAAAACAGTTCATGAACTACCTATTGAGCATTCCAGTTTAAGTAAGTCAATTAAACTATGCTAAAGTATTACACTACATGTGGTTTAAAATGTATGTAACTTTAAACAACAGTTGAAAGAATAAATTGATACCTATGGAGTTGAACAGATCCCATCTATATTGGTAGAAATACATTTTCTTCGTAAATTACATGTAAGGCAGAAGTCAACGAAAACTTAGTCGATAAAACATTGGACAATTGCGTTTTTTGCAGATAATTCTGTGATAAGCATCAGATCGAGGTATGCGTTTCTTGAACCAAGTTGCGTCGGACAGCATGCAATGTGCATCCTGCATAGGGAGTGACCAGCTATTACAATATAACAATCACTGTGGCTATTCATGCCGAGATAAACTCATCCATTGAACACTGACCTGTGGACATCCACCATATTCCTCCAACTATGATAACGACTAATCCCATCAGTTTAACAAACGTAAAGAAAATCTGGACCCGAGCAGTAAGGCGAACGCTGATACAGTTGGTAATTGCTACAGACACTGTTAAAAGCAACGGTAAGTCTTTGATATCTATAAGATGAAATTTCATTCCTTAAATTAGCTTTAAAAATGTACTGCCACAATAATTAAAACCCTGTCCATCTTGTTCTTTTCACATTGTTATTGTAAATTTGAAAGAAAGTCTAACAATAATATTGTCTTTTTATTAATGAAAGGCAATTAAGTTTTTACCCTTCATGTACACTACTTGTTTATCATACATTTAAAATATTTGAAACTGCATCTATCATGAGAACTAAAAAAATTGGAGTACAAATTGTAGACACAGATAATGAATCTAAATTTGCAAATCAAATGTACCTTTACCATAACATAATATATATCTGTACACTTCACTCCTTTATTAGTCACACTTACATATTGCAGTTGTAGCTATGATCTTTTTCATATACATTGATTGTCCACATTCGTCAAAGATAACCTCTGATAGATACTCGGATAGAGTGAGAGCTTTCACGGTCATTGAACCTGGCATAGTGACAAAGGCTTGACACCATACATACAGGAAAGAAACAAATGAACCGTAAGTCTTCAGGAAGTACGCATGCTCGGCACCAGATTTCGGAATCAGAGTCCCTAGCTCTGCATATACCAATGCAGCTGTAGATAAAGAGTGAAAACGTGAGTATTATCTTCATAATTTTACAAAAACATAATCATTCACATATCAGTGAATGGGACGTTGTTTTAGATATGCTAGTTAATTCAGGCGAGGTTGTCAAATCATTATATATATATCCATTTAAGATAAATCATTCTTTGAAAATGAAATCAATAATGTTGTAGATATGACTATTTATGCTACCACAATTAACAGTAATAAGCAAATATATAAAAACTCCATTAAATCTGCGTAAACAAGTGAAATATGATAAAAGAAGATGAAAACAATAATGCTGTAAGTTTAAAAAGTGTAAGGGTTCCTTCTATCATCGGCAATATAGGCTATTGATATATAGGATATTTTAGAAGTGATGGTCCTCAAAGAGTGAACCGGGGCAGTCGAAATAAGATTGTAACCATGTATACATTTAAGTGAAACTACATTGTAATTATGATTTCGTAAGGGGCTGGATAAAAGAGTGGTGGTCTGAATAATTATCAAAGCTTCTCAGAATATTCCTGATATCACGATGTCTCTGACCCGATACCGTGCAAATATCATCACCAGATGAACTAGTTTATTGTCTGATTAAGAGGGTTATATCCATTTTAAGGTAACGGTGGGGATATTAAAGTTGGTAAGTTAGAGGGTCTGTGTTGCGTTTGAAGAGATATCAACCATGACATGTAGTCTAAATTTTAATTTCGAGGATGTTTTTAAGAGATGTCTCATTGTAGTTATATAAGTCAGGTAATAGGTCCGTGCATTGAATTAGAGACGACGCCATTGTAACCATGGTTAAGTAAACATTAAGAACAATTTTAATCTAATTATGAAAGGGAGGATCTGTTCTGGAGACAGTGTGAGAGGAAGGAATACAAAATATACTAAAAATAGTATTGACAGTGCGAAATAACATAACTATAATGTACATAACTTAATAATTGACCTTGTATTGAAAATACATTCATAATTTAACAGTAATAGTCATACTTACCACACATGGAAATGACACCGCACAATGCCCATGTGACCAAACAAAGACCAACAGACCGAGTTTTAGCCAAGACATTCCTTGGTGATATAAAGATCCCCGAACCTATTAAATGTATGAGAAAATTCGTTTTTATCTTGTGAAAATTAAAAAGAGAACGTTGCAATAAAACTGAAGTTTGTTATTGTCATCCTCTTAAAACAGTATTAGACCTCTTAGAAAGAACGTGAATTGTATTGGCGTGGATTGAAAATAACCTTCAAAGAATCTTACAATGCTGTAAATGTCTTGCATCAAAATATTTGTCTTCATTGCATTAATATCTCAGTGGCAAACCGACGTTTTCTTTTCTTTTTGTTAGGAGATGGATTTGCGTATTCATCAAATGGGAACACTCTAACATTCATTTATTGTGATATGGTTTTAAAACACTTTGTGTCAACTAAAGTCAGAGTGAAATGCAAACCGGTATGAGAATAACATCGCGATATTTCAAGTCATGATGGTCCTTCTTGTTGCATTGGTTTCAAAAACGAAATGTATTCAGACTTCCTTGAATACCTTACAAAACTTCATGCTTTTATGTTAGAAAAGAAACACACGTTTATCTTTAAAAGCAAATTTAGGGTTAGCTATAGAACAGTAAAATTATGAATATGACTCCTTTATACAACTGTTTCGTCCTTCTAGGAGTTGTCAGCGATACTTAGAGCGTAAAGTTTGAAACCGAGAAGGCGACTGCGAAAAATCCATAAGAAATGTCAATATCTAGATGTGGAGGTGCACTAAACCTATCATATAATACATTTCAAAATTATCACTTGTATGTATTAAAACGTGGCTTGCAGGTTACAGCAAACCTCGGGGACTCTAGCAGAGTCTAACACCTGCAATCATTTCGAAGATTGTATAATAGACCAATTTAGAATTATATGCAGTAGATATCAATAATGAAGTAAACTGAACACGTAACGTACATAACATCGACGGCGAAATCTAACTCAATTGTACACCGTCCTTATATGTTCATTATAGGTTAATATAGAGATAAGCGACTGATGGAGATGAACCAATATTGCCCTTGGTTGCAAATTTAGCATGACAAACTGTTAGTGTCAAAAACATCGCGTTGTCGCCATATCTAATGGCTAGGATCTATCATTAATAGTGGCACGGTTCAGAATATATTATTGTTTTAGTTTTACTTTTTTCCCAGTTTTATATTATCATATAATCATAGTGATATATCAGTTCAACTAAAGTACTCATTTTCAGATTTGTTTAAATAGTCATATATCTTATTATGAGCTAAATCTGTATTTTCAAATTTGAGTGAATTTTCTTATAATTCTTGTCATATATAAGCTAAACTTGTACCTGTTCAGATTTGTGTAAATTTTGTAATTATTGGCTTAGATTAAGGAACCTTATTTTTCATGTCATGTTATCATATTAATGTACTTTTCGCTGTTCTAAAATTATATGATATATGAGCATTAAGAAATTTATTGAACTATGGTGCTGCTACACCTTCCCATCTAGATTTTGACTTTTCTTTCGATCACTTTCAATTATTTCCGTCAGTCGCCTTCTAGGTTTCAAAATTTAGACTCTCTGCATCGCTGACGATTCCTAGAAGGACGATACAAATGTATGATGCATTTTACTTCATCGTGTGGCTCTACTTATCCAACTCTAGATTATTAGAAGGTGATATTCACTTATGTGACTTTTGTACACTCTTAATCATTAAGTTATTCGACACTATTATTACACTGTTAGTGAATTGTTTAACTTGATTTCCTATATGTATAGACTTATCTACCTGATAAACTATCAGGACTGAACCCCACTTATTAGTATGAAAATGAAGAATAAATACGACACATCTGCGTAAATCACATAACCTATCGATATGTAGACCACCAAATTACGCAGTCAATTAAACATATTGATGATATTGATAATAAAAAAAAACCGTCATTGTGTAAAGATATTTGTTCCACTCACTTGAGATATTCATCTTGACAAATTCCTGCAAAACCATGCGGTAAAGTATACAAATAATGTTTTTCAACATGTGGACTACAACTTTGAAACTCGCTTGAACGCCATGTAAAACGTTACAACTATATATTAATATATTTGTGTTTCATATGCTAATACTACAAGTACGTTTTGAAAATCACCTCCAAATAGTTAAAAAGACACTGCACTTGCATATATTTCCGACTATAAAATTATCAATGAACACTTAAATACTTCTCATATCAGTTTATTTTATTTTAGGGTAAACATTAGTGGTAAATATAACATTATTGTGATATTCGAATTTTGTCTCGTTTAAAGCTTTGTTGAGTGTTTGCATTGGAGGTCAAGCTTGTACTTACCGATAATGTTACCCACGATGAGAGAAACTGAACTTAACAGACCAAGTCGCCTTTTGACCCTGAATTTCTCTGTTGTAACTTTGTCTCTTGTTTCAGACATTGTCTCGTATGTCGTAGGCTTTAAGTGCTTCTGTCGTAGTGAACCTGTTCAAACCAAGGAACATACTTAATGATATTTATAACGTCTGATAAAATTATCACTTTCTATTTGCGAATTATCCACTTCTTAATGGATACAACACCTGACCTTTCTGCCACCCCCTCATGTTTGTTATCCGTAGTGGTGTTGTACGAATATCAATATCGTTGCTATTCTGATACACAATATAAAAATTAACCATAATACTTAAAATCATCACCCTCTTCAGAGTAAATAAAAGAAATATCATTAATTTTTAAGTTATTGTCCTTTCAATGTATATCGCAAAACCATTGTTGAAAATGAAAAGAGAATGCCAAAACGGTTTCCTCACATCTTTACCCTTGGCATACCTAATGTCTTAGGGCAGTGCTGGTGGTAGGTCCAGATACAGAGCTGTTGTTGAATACAGACGTCATTCTTTATTACGTGATCCTCTTTGTCACATTTAATCAATATCATATAATCTAGTTTATAATGCGAGTTCACTGTATTGAAACCGGAGTGGTGAATCACAGAGAAATCAAGAACTATTTCTGGTTGAGAATTCTAGCAGCATATACACACAGTTACTGCGTACTAAGTAACAGCAGAAAGGTTAATCAATGTAAAGTGAATGATGTAATGTTACGTCTTGCCTTTTGACAATATAAGGTTAATTAACTGTCCCCACCAGAAGGACGGAAATTATGGGAAAAGTTTTGTTTTCATAATGAGCACATGAAGGAATATTCTATTTCTTTGTGCTATATGATGTTGGTTTGATGCTCGTTGATTTGCATGTTGCTTCCATTGTTGTATACATTATTGTTCTCAAGATTTACATGGCGGAGACGCTTACCCTTCCTGAAAACTCTCACTTATTCTCAGGAGGTTCAATGTAAATTTTTCCTTTGTTCATGTTTTGCACTAGTTTGATCTTATTTGAGTTTGGATGCTGATTCTGTGAAAATTTGGTATTATCTTGTCGTTTTCACATGCTTAAACAGGCAATGTAAGAAACAAAAAATAACTATTTATACTAGATTGATGGTAAATATTTATTTCGACCAATCACTGACCCCAAAAACTGATGACCCATATACAGAATTCGAAATTCTATCCTAAATACATAATTCCAAGCTCTCTAAAATAAATTCATAATATATATATATATTACCGCACTATCAAATTGTGACAAACATGACATTATTGATATATATATATATATATCTCCCAATTTTCCCCAATATTCCAGGAGGCTGCTTGCCTTATGGAACAAATTTATTGTATGTCTGTTCTTTAAACCGTTTTGTTAACAAATCTTATATTGTTACATTGAGATGGAGGTCACTTGTCAATCGTGTTTTGAGCCAAAGTATACAAAACTGATCACCGCACTATCAAATTGTGACAAACATGACATTATTGGTATCACAAGTGCTCTTTTTGTTCCAATTCCATTCTATGTGCGTATATGTCATAGTTGACTTGCTACACTAATTCATGTGCACTGATTCATTATAAATGTATATAATAAGATGCAATCGTGGAATTCACAAGTGAAATTGACTAACCAGGATATTAATAGATATTAACCCAATGATATTTTTAAATGTTAATAATCCTGACTTGTTTTTTCAAAGATGGAATGATATTAATTATACATTACTATTTCAACAATTTGTCAGGCTATCATCAACATGTGATTCTTTGTTGGATCTAACAGATGATGGGAGATTATTATCATTATGGTTATTTTGAGCAACAAACTCCTGCATGACACAATCTATATGTGACCTGGTATCAAAATAATCTCATTAATATTTCAGAAGGGTGTCAGACCTGAAAAGTGAGAATTACATAAGTGAGCACGTTATTTATTGGAGAGATACCAGTCACCAATGTGATAAGGTTATAAATATTTATGTAAAACGTTGAATGTCCTTTAGGCAAGCAGCACGTCTATGTCATGTTTTCCTTCTTAGTACTCTAAAATATTACGTAATAAATGATTGATAAGCCTTTCACTAGTAAACAGTGTGTGCCCGGACTTCAAATTTCACCATGGGATTAAAATTGCTTCGAATTACCGAATTCGGTAGCAAACTACTCTATGACATTTCAAATAGCTAGGCTAATACATTTTAAATGCTTGTACTAAATGCATATAGAACATCCTCTTTCAATATAAATTTGAAATTTTATTAACAGACTGCAGATACAGCACAGTCAAACCATGAAGAAAACTACATTATACAAATGTATCGTCCTTTTGGGTCTCGTCAGTGATGCTAAGAGTTGACATTAAAAAGCCAAGAAGGAAGATAACTAATTCCATAATTAACACATTTCGCATTTCCAAAATTTGACTATTAAAAGAAGTCTGAGTTAGAAAAAAGTCACAATCAGGACCATCTTTCTTTCGAAAACACTCAATCACACTAGTATTTCAACACAAATTTAAATTCAAAATGTTGTTTTCATTGAAGGAAACATAATTATCATAAGCCAAACCTTATTATTTTCGGTACACATACTCCAAACGAAGTAAAGACACTGGATTCGAGTGGGAATAAAGATAATCTCGTCAAGTGCTCAATACCAAGAAGGGTTGATGACCTATTGTTAAGTGGGTGTTGGGTCAAAATCAAGGTGAAGAGATGGTGAAAAGTTCAACATATTTACAAAAATGTCCGTGTTGATTTTGTAAGGTTGAAGGTATGCATATTTAATGTCGGGCCTGAATTTTAATTATGCTTATTATATGCTTGTTTGCTTGCATAGATTTGAAAAGATGTTCATGAAAAGATTAATTGCTACACTATGAATAAAAACGTGTAATCATCAGGCAATTTTGCGAAAATAAGATATTCCATTTAAAATATTTTTAAATGTGTATTTACTATTGGCTGGAAAGAGAATAAAACGACACCATATAGTCGTTTTCATCTTTCTTTGTGATATTCAGTGGGATAAATACGTATTCCGTAATGTACTTGTACTTTATTCTTCATTTTAGTAGAGAAAAACCAATGTACACGTAATCAGATTGACAAAACACGATATGTTTTCTGTAAAATAGAAATAGTTAAATTCAGATGATTTATGTTTCCAAGATAAGTTTGTTTTGTGTAATCTTTTCTTCAGTATTTTTATCTTTTCATTTTAGCTACAACAGATCATGCCTGAATGTAACTTTTAAACGAGTATCCACCTGGAAAAATGACATGCTTCTCTCTGGAATTGACTAATGCAAAAGTGACTCTATTACCAACACTAGTTTAAGAGAAGGTTACAAATCCATATATCCCAGACTGAGAAGATGGTAACCCATGACATGAAGCTGGACGACGTGTTTGATGCTCGTTAGTTTGCCTGTTGTTGTGTACCTTGTCCTCTTTTGAGAACGTAACATAACTTACATGGATCGACAAAGATTAACATGGCGGATGCCGTCGTGAATTCTCCTGCACACCTGATCTTATTCCCCCTTTCTTTTTTAATGGGTCTCGATGTAAATTTTTCTTTGTTGATATTTTACCATACGTTTATTGGATGTGAATTTGGTAATGCTTTTGTTCATATGTTGATATTGTTTGTTTAAAAGTAAGATATCAACTTATATTATTGTTCGCAAGTCATATGGGTGTAATTACAAAACCTCGAAGATAAAAGTACTGATTTAGATGATGATTTGGTTTATCACTGTATATTGCATAAAGTTGTTCATTGGCGCATACTGCGATACATCGTTCTATCATCTCTCCAATCCTATATACATTAGAATATTTTTGAAGTTGATTATATCCTGTCAAATCTTCAAAAAGGCATAAATTTGAGAACCTTTTTAACTTTACCAGCTTCATTGCTCGATCTTACAAGAGGCCCAAGGGCCTTATCGGTCATCTGAGTAACAATGCTTCTTGCAACATATCATAGAAATGATTTTGTTAAAAAAAGTAATATATCTTTAAATACGTTGTACACATAATGAAAATGTAAATTGTACAGGAATTAACTGTGTTTCATGCTTAGGCTTCTAACTCATTTTGAATTTAAATATATAACACTCAATATTTGAATTGTTCTTCCATCCTGAAACAGTAGAACATCCTTGAAATTTCAGTAAAATTTACCCATTTTTGACCCCGCCCATCAGCACCTGGAGGTCAGTAAATGTCAATATGAGTATCTCATCTGCCATCTTATACTAAAAATATTGAACTTTGAACTATTTCGGAAAGAAGATAAACAAATTATGCTCAAAAATGTGTTTTTTTATATAAAATATATTCAAATATAACATTTTTATAAAGAACCGTAAGAAACTCACATCCAAAATTATAATTTGGTTCTAGATTGTCTAGGTATTGGGAAGATTTGATAAAATTTCAGTCTAATTTGGCTTATTTTGAACACCGCCAATCAGCTCCTGGGGGTCAGTCGAATTAAATATGTTCATCTCATTTAATTCTCATCTTAAACTAACAATTGAAATAGGTTTAAACTATTTCCAATAGGAAGTTAATAAGTAATGTTCAAAAATGTAAATTTCCCATATGAACTAAAGTAAAATGAACCCCTCCCAGGGGGAAATCTGAGGCCCTGGGGTCATAAAATTTACATTTTTGGTAGACCATCTAAAGAACTTTCCATCTATGAAGAGAACTTGATTCTATCATACCTGAGATTTTTAAAAAGATATTTAATTTCAATCTATCATGCCCTTTTTGGCCCCGCTCTGAGTCTTCTGGGGGTTGGGAACGCATAATGTACATTTTTTGTGCGTCTTTAGCCGCAAGAGGTTTTTGGAAATTTCACTGAATCCGGTCGTGAGTTTTTCAGAAGAAGTCGAAAATGTTTACGACGCACGAAGCCGGACAAAAGGGGGTTACAATAGGTCACCCTGAGTCTGGGGTTTTGTTTGTTAGTTTTTTTCTCTGAAAATTAGAATTAGGTAATACTCACTGAAATTACCGATCTGAATTCGCCAAAGCAAAAGATAATTTTTGTATAATTCATTGTTAGTCACATTCACATTTGTTGGTCGAATCAGACTGTTACGTGCCGTACCTCTTTTCACAATCACATTCTCGGGGAAAAATAGTTCAGTTTTAATTTTGAATACAGCGACATCTTTGGAAACTCAAACAGACTTAAAATGACATGAAAATTATGGTCAATGCATATTTGATCAGCAGTAGACGATCATTTACCAGATAATCATAAAAGTAATGAATGAACCACAGATATCGATCAATCATTTACTGGATGGCCTAAACAAAATAAAATTCTAACGTATATGTATCTCGCTCATAGTCACTTTACTATTTTCTTCCGAATGAAACGCAATATCAACATCTTCTCGTACAGAGATGTAATGTATGTTTAATGTGAAAACAAAACTGGGTTCCGGCAAACAAGCAATGCATGATTTCGCATGATTTACACTGACGCGCAAATATTGCTTTACTGCGGAGTGTTCATGTTTGAAGTAATTTTTTTCAATCAGGTCAGCATGAACTCGCAAGTACATTGATCAGCCTTCTGTAAACTTAAAATTATTTTCTCCATGAATAATCAGGTTTGCAAAACTAGGACAGAGTAAAGATGGTGAGTTCAATGTCTTACAACAAAAATAAGTTTTGATCGAAAGCAGGCGTGTTAATTTCAAGTCTAATTTCAAACAAAATATTTTCTTCAGTCGGCTCATATGTTTCATGATTTAAACATTTAGCGTCACTGGTGTGATTTACAAGGACAAAACAGCTATATAATGTCGTATCACTGACGAGTCCTAGAAGGACGAAACAACTGTATGACGTAGCTGCACTGAAGAATCCTAGAAGGCTGGAACAGTTGTATAAATTAGCATCAGTTAGGAATCCTAGAAGGACAAATTAGCAGTAGGATATAGTACCATTAAGGAGTCCTAGAATGTCGAAACAGTGTATAGTTCCATTTGGCTCTTCGTATCTCCTGTATCTAATTCTAAATCTGTATTTAAATGTGTCTTTGCAGAATCTGGCTGGAAAATGTATAAAAACACTCGTTAATTTGACCATTTGTTGATAATTGCTAGAAAAGAGGAAAGAAAAAGAAAGAAAGAAAAAAAGGAAACATGAAAATTTTCAATGCTTGTTATAATTCTAAGGTATGAAATTTTTCCAGTGACTTCATCTATAACGATTTCGTAATCAATAATACTCTTTTATGTCTGCAAGTTATGCTGCGCTTAGTGGAAAAGTCAGGTCTTACTTTATTGATGTTACGTAACAACTGCGTCACTAACGCCCACTGAGCGTAATTCAATGTGGTTAATTTACAAAAAGTCACAGTATGCATATCACATCGGTTACTGTCGTTACGGAGGATGATCATATAAACAAAACAAAACTATATCATCAATCTTACATCCACAGGAAAATCGTGGGGAATTAGTTTACAGAGGCCAATACGTTCAGTTTTCAGCATTTACTCAAACTTCATTATTGATATATGGTGACAATGCTAGGTTGGTCTGTGTAGTGAATAGACAGGTCGTAACAAGAAGTGGCACTGTTTTAATGTCAAACGTAACAGTATGAATATTAAAAGTACGATGTAAAGTAAACAAAGAACGCTAGGTGTACTGAAGAAACAAAAATGAAACATATATGAAAATATAATACCATTAAAAACAAATCACAGCAGCAAAAGTTTTAAAAATGTAAACGAAACATCAGGCGAAACCAATGAAATATCAAGTCATAGGATAATAGAGATGTCAATAAAGTCTACAAATTGTGCTCGTACTCAGGAATACTTGCACAGAATATGAATTTTGCCTGAAGAATACCGCGACGATAAATGGTTATTACATGACAAAGGCTCTGGAAACATGATTGATGATATGAAAGCCAATATTTCGCGGTAGGATTTTTTCTGTATTTAATTTTATTTATACATTTATTTATTTTTTATTTTCATCGTGTTCGAGGATTCCGTTGTTGAATACCTTGTTTTCATTTGGGAACATGACAACACTTTCTCGGATTGGCCAATATTTACCCGGCGGGTGTCGTCGATGAACCACTCTTCTGGAACACCTGGTCTTATTCTCCTTGTAGCCATGTAGATATTTCTTTTGTTCATATTTTGCCCTAGTTTTATGGAATTTGAGCTTGAATTATGATTTCGTTGGTATTTTCTTGATGTTTTTATTGACAATACTTCACAAAGAACATTATTTATATTGTGTCCTAAAGAAAACAAAAAGCACAAATCTTTCCAGACAAACAGGTGTGATGAATCGGTGACCGAGACCAGAAAAAATCAGGAGCAAACACTTGTCCAGTATTCTGTGGTTAACCTCAATCTATAGCATCAACAATTTACTTCATCCATTTTGTTCTACTGTACATTGTTTAGATTAATCAGACGTCATAGATGTTTTTAAAACATTAATAAATCACACTGGACCAACAGTAAGTCACATTCAGCATCCTAGAGTTTCATTCTTAAAATTGTCTTCATAAAGACCTGAGAAATGTTTGCTAGATTAGATATATTCTTCAATCATTTTGATCTGGACAATTATTCTCGATTTCAAAAAAATGGAAATCACAAAGACACCATACAGGTTAAATTTTCTCGATTTAAATTTGATACAGATTTATTTAAAACTTTGAAAGAAACAATGCAGTCTTGTGATCGTGAAATGTACTGTCATTATTCAAATAAAAAAAGTTCATTGACTTTAATTTTCTCCACCCATATTTAAAAAGTGCAGAGAAGAGATTCCTGAGTAAACTCTTAAACTGTGCTTACACTATAATGTCATATAAAAAAATTGTTGAACAATTTATAATGACCAACATTTAATGTTTTAAAAAAGGGTGTCCAATTCGGTTCCTTTATATCTTTTGTTTATGAGATTTTACAGACATAAAATGTATTGTATCAGTTGTTTTAGTAAATCTATACCTTGAATATGAAAAGACGGCAACTAATGACAATAAGTGAAAATCGCAAACGCTAAAAATGAATAAATTGACAAACTTTAAATCATGCATATGATTAATAAACATCACCATAAAGTATTTAGTTGACACTAAAAGCGATAAAAGTTTTTATATTAACATGAAAACATACATAAAAAATTACCTTTGAATAGCGAGTGCTTTACGTTGACGGAACTGTGAGAACAATTTACCTACCAGTAGTGTACGTTGGTTCAGGTCTGTTTAAAATTCTAACGTGTACACACAGATGAGGCGTCAACAACTTTATAGTACGAAACTTTCTGCTTTCACATAAATAAACATGTTAATTTGGTATTGTTGATTTACATTTGATCAGCAGAACACACATTTTTTTTCGAGTATGAAATTTGAAGCGACGGGTTTATGATGACACGGATGTGTGTGTGTGATAATTTTCTTCTTGGCGTTTTGATAGGTGTATGACCGGAGGGTAAACTTATGTAAATACAAGACATTAATTTACTCACGTGTGTGTGTGTGTGTGTGAATTATATTATTTCAATTCTGATTTCGGTATATAAGATTTTTGCCATAGAATAGATACTTGAAAAGAAAGCAAGAAAACATAGAACCATTAGGAAACTTATAAAAATGGTGTACTTTTTCAACATAAATATGACTATAGCTTGAAATGGTGATCAAAACATCGTGTTTATCTGGTATAAAAATATATACTTTAGAATAACCATGACGTTGTGAACATAACTTGCAGTTTTCAACAATATGCATAGTTTGAATCCATGTGTTCGGTTTTTTCTGTCAATATTCAATACATGTCACAGGAATCGTGATGTTCGAGCCATTCTAGCAAATACTGATTTGCAAGTCACACATGTTAATGTCATAGGTTTGAGAAGAAAGGATGATTTGCTCAATCTGCTAAGCAGTTATTCTTGTTAATGGTGTAGTAAATTAAAAATCGAAGTAAGGGTAGAGGTTTTATTGCACTTAATTGTGATACTTGTTTTATATGATATTTACATGTCACATTTGATTTTATATTCAAGGCTTGTTCTTCCCAATATCACGATATTCGTGTAAGCTGCTGTAAACTGACAGATAATAAACACAGATATTCAAGAGATGCAGGTTGATGAAGATTATATTTGAAAGTTTTACTGTCGTCATAATGATCGTATTGTGAAATATTCTGTTTTTCTGTGGCTGTTAAGTCGTTGTT